TTGCAGTGTAGAGTGGATGAGTTTGGCTGCCGGCCACGTTGAGGACTACAGCAACTTCTCTTATAAAGACATACACAATGCCCTCATGTATGGCTTTGAGCTTTATCCTTAATACACAATGCTCAGGATGGACCGCGTCTGATGTGTCTACATGTTTTCCTCACACCATTTCAGGTGCGTCAATTCTCGACTAAATTAATAACTTTTGTAGTCGGAAATATAATTGCCTTGTCAAACTAGGAACATATTACAAACATTCAAGCAAGAATAAAACCCTGGTTAATTGTTCGGGTTCACGCACTGACTAAATTAGACTAGGTATATCCTAATTCTGCAATCCATTATATGAGATTTAAAGGTATCAACATGTCACTTGTGGTATTCCACTAAACTAGTAGGTAGGTGGTCTCATGTTTGACTCGCATAAATGACGAGTTTGTCATTATTGATGACCCATTGTGTGATTTAACTTAAACTAGAAAATGCGCCCGCACTTCGCTGCCGGGGATATTATTCACAACAGGAATGAATAATTTCCACAAAAAGTGGGCAAAATGGTGGTAGGAACAGAATCACATTCTCAAATGTAGCGACTCAGATAACATATATTTGAGCTAAGTGAATCCAACAAAATCACCAATCCACGTATGCATCTTCAAATAATTTAAATAAGTGATAAGTGATATGGGCTGGTAAGATCAGCAGCTTGGTTTTCATTTTGATTTAATTCAGCCGACATCAAGAGCCATATACAATTTAACAGGATGAAGACATATACAGTCGCCTTCTTAGTAGAGCTATATATAATAGGGAATTGTTATTGGCACTCCAAAATTCTCATTTTGCACTCCAAACTTTCCATAATTAGAAAGAAAAATACACTTGTCGCGAGTGTAGAATAAGATTATTAGAGTGCTAATAACAGTTTCCTATATAATATCTTATAAATAAAAGAATCACAAATGATACTATAGTTGTTAAAAAACCCATTACTCAAAACTCCAATTCCCTCAGAACCCATTACTGAAAGCTCCAATTCCATCAAAACCGAGATGGTAAAAGTACATACTGGTTAGTTTCCACAAAAAAAAAAAGTACAAACTGGTTACAAAAATATGTTGTCCCATCCAATTGACGATAAGCAAAACAAATTACGAAAAGCAAAGTAATCAAACAGCCAAAAAATTAGAATGAAATCCTAAAACATTCTCATATTTTATAAAGTCAGCATCTACCTCATGTTCAGCTAACCCATTAAGAAAAACGATAAAGGTCATTGGGAATGAAAAGTCGTTTATTTATAATTGATGAGACCTTATAAATCTGATTTGGCAAACGGCTCCTCAGCTCTTCATGGTTGTAAATCTCTCCATTCACCTTAATGATTTTCAAAACAAACATCATATCAGTAATTGTAAATTGAAAATTTTATCTCTTTTTTCAAATATTCAATAAATTAAACACACAAAAATTAAAAAAATATATGACACGACCTTGTAAGCAACAGAAGAGATGAAGCGGTGAGTGAGACAAAAGTGGTAAGCGAGAGAAGCGGTGAGAGTGCATCCAGGAAGAATGTAAACAGAAGGCAAAAATTGAAGGCAAAACTGAATTCCTCTTGACTACCTATTTAGTGAGTTCTTGGCCCTATTTTAGAGAGTTACTGGAATAGAGTTACTGGAATGAAATGAAGCCAACTCTACAACAAAGAAACAAACGAAAAAGTCAAAATCCAGAAATCCAAGTTTAACTCAATCAAATATAATAACCAATGAAAGTTGCAAACTGCAAATTCTCGCAATGTAGACAAAGAAACTTGTTTCTCAAAGACATCATTGGTCTCTCTTTGTGAATACAACATTTGGAAAACCAAACAATAATTAATAAAATAGAAAATCGAAGTACCTGGCAAGTTTTTCTTTTTATACAACCCATCATCTCCACTTGCTTTAAGTAAGGAGGAAGTGTGTGAACCACCTTTCATCACCCTTTATTCAAAACATCACAACACCTGCACTTATATAAAGGAAAAAAGAAATGAACCAAAATAAAATTATACTACAATCCAATTATATGAAGGCCAAACTCTTGAGTTGGGGCTGGTGGCCATCGACCACATCATCGACTCCATTTGAGAGAACAGGGTTTGTTTGGCTCTTTTGTCCAATTATTTACACTAACCATATCTAAATGAAGAAGGAAAACACCTATGTTGCTCCCTTCTTGTGATCCAAATTTGAAGACGGCCGATGGGGAAGGGCAGTTATAAGTGTCATCCTCTTTGTTTCTCCTATCCCTGCATTGTCAACCAAAACAACATCAAAACAATCCAATGTAATGCTCACAAAATTTGAGCTCCAAACAAAGTCACAGGTCAGCAATCACCTAATTGATCATAACACCATTCGCAAATATGAAAAACATAAACAATTAAGTCAGCAACATAATATGTCATCCCTTTCATACAAACACATATTGCAAGTCATATATGCCACATTATTCACAAACAATTACAAATCAATAAACAATTAAATCATCATCATGAATTACAGTGTAATATCAACACCATCAATTAGAAAAGACAGAGCTACATGGGAATAAACTTACAGAAAGAAACTACTTCAGATCCTTCCCAAAAGCAATCTTCTGCAGGATAACAAAAGAGCAGTTGATCTCTGATCTAATTGTAGACGCAATCTGCAGTAACCGACTTCTATGGAATTTGAACTAGTGAAATGTGGGGTGGAGATCTGAATGTAACAAATTGGTGTTAAGTGAATAATTCCAAACATATGAAATTTAGATCATCACACCTGAACACAAACAGAACAATTAAATAAAGAATCGAAGGCATACACAATCTAATTAGACAAATAAGTGAACTTTCCCATGCCAAAATCCGAAAGGCCAACAGAAATCTCTCATTACAGCACAGAAGATAAAACTTAAAAGACAAAACTTAGAGAACAAACTTAAAAGACAACTTAAAGAACAAAACTTAAAAGACAAAACTTAAAAGGACAAAACTTAAAACTAATCAAAATTAGGTGAACCAATTGAAGAGAACATAACCCTTATAACCAATCTGGAAAAGATGCTTTTAACTCCCAGAACAAAAAAATTATGAGTTTTTAAAAAACCGTCATTTCAATGATTTTCCAGTCTAACATTTAGGATTAAACAGAAAATATAACTAAAAATGCCAACTTTCTAAAAAAACTACCAACTACTTGAACAAATTTCCATCACCCAACACTAAAAAATGAGAATCACGAAGCAACGAAGAACGGAACAAGCTAGAACTGAAACGTTAAAAACAACACATACCCATTCCAAAGACCAAAAATCCTGCAAGGACAAAAAAAATCCCAGAAAATCAGTACATCAGTACTCCCTGCAAAACCCCAAAATCAGAAAATTAGAAAAAGAACCCAAATCAGTTGCATGGTCCTCGTTTCTCCATTAATCTGTAGCTAATGACCTAATGAAAAAGAACCCAAAACAGACTGCTTAAATTATGGTAAGTGCTTATAAAGCTCATGGATAACTTTCAGAGCCTGCATAGAAATGGCATAGTGATATCGTAGATAATAACAGGCAATAAAACTATGCACAGTATAACCTAAATCCGATATGTTGCATTCCACACATACACATATAGATATGTCTACATATACATAGATGACCCACAGAGATTAACACCATGCGGAGGTGTGCGCGCGCACAAACATAAAATATACATGCATACTTAATTTTAGACAATAATACCTCACAACATAAGTTGCAATTTGGGACTATTTGGTTGACTCAAAAGAAATTGATGGGTTAGAAAAAGCACAAAAAAATACAAAGACGGATGTTTTTATGTCGTTCATCTCTTACATCGACAAAACACACACACCTGTGTTTTAATGCTCCTCCAATACTCAATGAGAAGGCACCAGGCAAGAAGAAGGTCAAGGCTGGAAAGAAGCTTCCAAAGAGAACAATCTATAAAGCAGACCACAAAAATTAGACAAAACCCAAAAACCAAACAGTAGAAAAATCTCTAAAATGAAGAAAAAAAAACCAAACAGCAGACTCACAAAAATTACTCAAGCCTTTGCATTCACAGCTGTTGGATAGACGCAAAGACTGAAGGGAAGTCAATTTGGCCATCATCTCACGTGATAGGAATTCTAATTTCTTGCAATCTGTTATGCTCGGTGACGTCAGCGTGGTGGGCAGACCATTTGTAGGGAACGACAAGGGTGAGGAACATTTATATAAAGTCAAAACTTTGAAGACGATTGCTGTTGTGCACCATTTGCACCAACAACTCTTTCCCACCAACACTATCAATATCAAGCTTCTGAAGCGACGGCAGCGTCTCCATCGACTCTAGTAACAATGAGAGACCCGGGCATCCATTTATTGTCAGTTTTTCAAGAGATCCTCGTAAGGATTCCACGTTCAGGGTATTACTGGCCCTGTTTTTATGTAGAACCTCACACTTGTTCACATAAAGTGTTTTCAAGGAGGGAAGATGAGTGGGCAAGTTTCCTCTCAGCTTCGGACATTCGGATAACCTCAGCTCCTTAAGATGAGGAAAGTCTGGACTTTCACATCCACTTGGACTAGGCTGCCATTCCTCCCACTCTGGCATCTCCCGAAACTTTACCTTCTCTAAACATTGAAATGGTTGATTTCCCCCGTACAACTCAACACCAACACTCTTAACAACTTTCATCCCTTCTACGTAGAGCTCTTTCAGAGCAGGTAGCTGACCAACTGGTGGCAATGAACTGCAATTACCAGTCACTGAGAAGCATCACTAGATCGGGGCCATAAAACTGGCTGCTAACCAACACAAAAAAAATAAGATACGCTTGAATTGTTAATCAAATCAACACACAAAAAATTAACAACGCAAGAAACAACAGCAAGCATACCACCACCAGCAGGCAGGCACATCCTGTCCTGTCACACATTCGCACATTGAAATTGAATGCACTTTCATATATGTGTTGTCATAAGGATGCAAATTAATTGCTGCATCTCGTGTTTTATTAATTTTTATTCTATAATCAAATACAAATCACATACATACTCCAAAAACCAAAAAGAGAATGCTGGAAAGGAGAAATTAGAAATCATATTGAAGAGCCTTCCAACGCACATTAATAATCTAATTAATTAATGTGATTTGAGAAACAAACCCCTTTTCGGGCGTGACTGATCAGATCCTGCATTGCTGGTTCTACACAATACCCAATACACAAAATCCCAAAAAAAAAAAAAAATTAATACATCGTCCATACAAAATCAACCAACAACAACAACAACAAAGCCTTTTCCCACTAAGTGGGGTCGGCTATATGAATCCTAGAACGCCATTGCGCTCGGTTTTGTGTCATGTCCTCCGTTAGATCCAAGTACTCAAGTCTTTTCTTAGGGTCTCTTCCAAAGTTTTTCTAGGTCTTCCTCTACCCCTTCGGTCCTGAACCTCTGTCCAGTAGTCACATTTTCGAACCGGAGCGTCAGTAGGCCTTCTTTGCATATGTCCAAACCACCAGAACCGATTTTCTCTCATATTTCCTTCAATTTTGGCTACTCCTACTTTACCTCGGATATCCTCATTCCCAATCTTATCATTTCTCGTGTGCCCATACATCCCACGAAGCATCCTCATCTCCGCTACACCCATTTTGTGTACGTGTTGATGCTTCACCGCCCAACATTCTGTGCCATACAACATCGCTGGCCTTATTGCCGTCCTATAAAATTTTCCCTTGAGCTTCAGTGGCCTACGACGGTCACACAACACGCCGGATGCACTCTTACACTTCATCCATCCAGCTTGTATTCTATGGTTGAGATCTCCATCTAATTCTCCGTTCTCTTGCAAGATAGATCCTAGGTAGCGAAAACGGTCACTTTTTTGTGATCTTCGCTAGATTGCTCCGGTCATTAGTGTGTGGATAAGTATATAAATGGATAGAGATAGGAAAGCAAACACAAGATGTACGTGGTTCACCCAGATTGGCTACGTCCACGGAATAGAGGAGTTCTCATTAATTGTGAAGGGTTTACACAAGTACATAGGTTCAAGCTCTCCTTTAGTGAGTACAAGTGAATGATTTAGTACAAATGACATTAGGAAATATTGTGGGAGAATGATCTCGTAACCACGAAACTTCTAAGTACCGGAGTGTGGTATCGTCTTGACTTTCCTTATCTGTCTCATAGGTAGATGTGGCATCTTCTCTGGAAGTACTCTTCCTCCATCCAGGGGTGGTATCTGTAACTGGTGGAGATGCACAAGGTAATGTATCAATTGTCACTTGAAGCTTACTTGTAGTTTCAGGCTTGGTCAAGCGCGATACAAACCATGTAGTAGGAGTCCCCCAAGTCGCCGAGCTAGGGGATCTGCTGAAAGAGGTGACAGACAAGGTAAGCAATCAGAGCTCCGGCTGATTGTTCACATTCTCCCTATCTTGCAGGCAGCATGAAGGATAAAGAGAAGAAAAATGAGAAGAGATGATATGGGATACTTTTGCTTTTGAAGAAGTAACTTTCCACAGGCTTATTCTTGAACTGGGCTGGAGGGTTTTCTGGTTTCCTCCAGAGTATAAGGCCGACTGAAGAATTTGAGGGTCAAAACAAGTCCATCAAATCTAGAGTACGTTCGACCCTGCTGATATGGGATACTTTTGCTTTTGACAGAGTAATGGATGTATCGGCACGTGTGCTGTTACGCTTGTCTCCACATGCTTCCTTGTATCCTTCTCACTTGCCCTATCTGTTCCTCAGGCAGATGCGGTATCTTCCCTGGAAGCATAAGATGTTGAAGATGAGTACTCGAGAGCAATGCCAGGTAAGTAATCAGGTAAGGGGTTCCAGGCAGTCAGTTCCTGGCTGGAAGCTTGATTCCAAGTGCTGACTGATTGCTCTCTTTCTCCTTGTCTTGCAGGTAAGAACAAGGCCAAAGGAAAAGACAGGGAAAAAGCATGATATGGGATACTCTTGCTTTTAACCCTGATGATATGAGATATTCTTGCTCTAGTATAGCTTGTTTACAGAGGTATTATCGGGGGGAAAGAAAGCTGAATATTTCGAAAGGCTTCGTTGGGAGTGCCCTCTCAGATAAGAGGAAGGGTTGAGCATTTTTGCAGGTCTGCCTGTCCGTTGGGGATGGAGGTCGACATATATAGGAGTCTCCCTAACATCAAGTAATAATGCTATTCCTTTACCCTGCTTGGTCATAGCACGGTAGTGGGAGCTGCCAGCTTCACATGTTTTAACTCTGTCAGAGCACTTTGAAAAAGTGGTCTGTGGTATCTGGAAAGCTGATGTTGCGTGTGAAGATTACAGACAAGCTTTATCCAAGGAGATCCAGCTCTTGAAGTTGGGAAAGTGGTGCCTCTTCGGTTTTCGAACAAGCAATCCTGTCGGGGATCTGGCTCTCGAGATTCGGAGAACGATGCCTCTTCGATTTTTGAGAAAGCAATCCTGCTGGGGGTCTGGCTCTCGAGATTCGGAGAGCGGTGTCTCTTCGATTTTTTGAGAAAGTAATCATGTTGGGAGTCTGGCTCTCGAGATTCGGAGGGCGGTGCCTCTTCGATTTTGGAGCAAGCAATCTTGTTGGGAGTGTTTTCTCGAATGTGAGTAAAGGTTGGGCATGTTTGCTAGTCTACCTTGCCACGAAGCACAGAGGTTGACACACAGGGACTTTCCAATTATCCAGCAGTGGTACTGTTCCTTTACCCTCTCTTCGATTTTTGAGAAAGTAATCATGTTGGGAGTCTGGCTCTCGAGATTCGGAGGGGCGGTGCCTCTTCGATTTTGGAGCAAGCAATCTTGTTGGGAGTGTTTTCTCGAATGTGAGTAAAGGTTGGGCATGTTTGCTAGTCTACCTTGCCACGAAGCACAGAGGTTGACACACAGGGACTTTCCAATTATCCAGCAGTGGTACTGTTCCTTTACCCTCTCTTCGATTTTTGAGAAAGTAATCATGTTGGGAGTCTGGCTCTCGAGATTCGGAGGGCGGTGCCTCTTCGATTTTGGAGCAAGCAATCTTGTTGGGAGTGTTTTCTCGAATGTGAGTAAAGGTTGGGCATGTTTGCTAGTCTACCTTGCCACGAAGCACAGAGGTTGACACACCGGGACTTTCCAATTATCCAGCAGTGGTACTGTTCCTTTACCCTTGTGGGTAATAATATGGTAGCTAGACCTTCAAAATTTATGTGTCTAAACTTTGTTAGTGTTGTTTCTTTGCTAATTCTTTTACCCTTCTTGGTCAGAGCGATGTAGTGGGAGCTGCAAGCTTCACGTGTCTCAACTTTGTCAGAGAACTTTGGCAAAGTTATCTGTGGTACCCATGAGCTACTGTTGCGTGTGGGAAGTGGGTGATTGAACAGTACGATTCATGTGCTTTCTACTTCGCCAGAAATCTTCGACAGAATGCCCATAATTTCCGCAAAGCTGAGTGTGCGTGTGACAGGTGCTGACAAGGCTGGAAAAGTAGGTGCCTCTTCGATTTCTGAGATCGGCCCTCGTGGTCTCTGAGCAGCCCAGCTTTTGAGAAAGCAAGCCTCTTCGATTTCTGAGATCGGCCTTCGTGGTCTTTGAGCAGCCCAGCTTTTGAGAAAGCAAACGCCTCTTCGATTTCTGAGATCGACCCTCGTGGTCTCTGAGCAGCCCAGCTTTTGAGAAAGCAAACGCCTCTTCGATTTCTGAGCAGGCGCCTCTTCGATTTCTGAAGCTTCGTCGAGTGCAGATTTTTATAGGGGCTGACATTAAGTTCCAAAGCACACTTGAATATCCACCAGTAGAAGCTCCATTCTTGCACTTCTAAGATCTTGATTTGTCCGACCTCTTCTCTCTTCAACACCTTTGAAAATGTCTGGCCCCTCCGACCGTCGTTTTGACTTGAACCTTGTTGAAGAGGCAGCCCCGCCTTCTCCAGACAACATATGGCGCCCATCCTTCGTCTCCCCTACTGGTCCTCTTACCGTTGGGGATTCCGTGATGAAGAATGATATGACCGCTGCGGTAGTGGCCAGGAACCTTCTCACTCCCAAAGATAACAGACTACTTTCCAAACGGTCTGATGAGTTGGCTGTTAAGGATTCTCTGGCTCTCAGTGTTCAGTGTGCAGGTTCTGTGTCTAATATGGCCCAACGCCTATTTGCTCGAACCCGCCAAGTTGAATCATTGGCGGCTGAAGTGATGAGTCTCAAACAGGAGATTAGAGGGCTCAAGCATGAGAATAAACAGTTGCACCGGCTCGCACATGACTATGCTACAAACATGAAGAGGAAGCTTGACCAGATGAAGGAATCTGATGGTCAGGTTTTACTTGATCATCAGAGATTTGTGGGTTTGTTCCAAAGGCATTTATTGCCTTCGTCTTCTGGGGCTGTACCGCGTAATGAAGCTCCAAATGATCAACCTCTGATGCCTCCTCCTTCTAGGGTTCTGTCCAGTACTGAGGCTCCGAATGATCCCCCTCCGGTGCCTTCTCTTTCTGGGGCTCTACCGACTGCTGAGACTTCTCCTAAGCAACCTTTGTGAAGGCTCCCTCTTGTTTGTTTATTTTGACTCAAGTATATGTACATATTTGTAACTTATCGGGGATATCAATAAATAAGCTTTCCTTCATTTCAACGTATTGTGTTAAATACACCAAAGCCTTCTTCGCTAAGTTCTTTGAATTTTCTTTTGTTGAAGCTTGTATGTTGAAGCTTTGTGAGTGGAGCATGTAGGTTGAGGTAGTGTTCCCTTAATTTCCCGAGTGAGGAAAACTTCTCGGTTGGAGACTTGGAAAATCCAAGTCACTGAGTGGGATCGGCTATATGAATCTTAGAACGCCATTGTGTTCTGTCCTGTGTCATGTCCTCCGTTAGATCCAAGTACTCTAAGTCTTTTCTTAGGGTCTCTTCCAAAGTTTTCCTAGGTCTTCCTCTACCCCTTCGGCCCTGAACCTCTGTCCCATAGTCGCATCTTCTAATCGGAGCGTCAGTAGGCCTTCTTTGCACATGTCCAAACCACCGTAACCGATTTTCTCTCATCTTTCCTTCAATTTCGGCTACTCCTACTTTACCCCGGATATCCTCATTCCTAATCTTATCCTTTCTCGTGTGCCCACACATCCAACGAAGCATCCTCATCTCCGCTACACCCATTTTGTGTACGTGTTGATGCTTCACCGCCCAACATTCTGTGCCATACAGCATCGCCGGCCTTATTGCCGTCCTATAAAATTTTCCCTTGAGCTTCAGTGGCATACGGCGGTCACACAACACGCCGGATGCACTCTTCCACTTCATCCATCCAGCTTGTATTCTATGGTTGAGATCTCCATCTAATTCTCCGTTCTTTTGCAAGATAGATCCTAGGTAACGAAAACGGTCGCTCTTTGGTATTTTCTTGATCTCCGATCCTCACCCCTAACTCGTTTTGGCCTCCATTTGCACTGAACTTGCACTCCATATATTCTGTCTTTGATCGGCTTAGGCGAAGACCTTTAGATTCCAACACTTCTCTCCAAAGGTTAAGCTTTGCATTTACCCCTTCCTGAGTTTCATCTATCAACACTATATCGTCTGCGAAAAGCATACACCAAGGAATATCATCTTGAATATGTCCTGTTAACTCATCCATTACCAACGCAAAAAGGTAAGGACTTAAGGATGAGCCTTGATGTAATCCTACAGTTATGGGAAAGCTTTCGGTTTGTCCTTCATGAGTTCTTACGGCAGTCTTTGCTCCTTCATACATATCCTGTATAGCTTGGATATATGCTACTCGTACTCCTTTCTTCTCTAAAATCCTCCAAAGAATGTCTCTTGGGACCCTATCATACGCTTTTTCCAAATCTATAAAGACCATGTGTAAATCCTTTTTCCCATCTCTATATCTTTCCATCAATCTTCGTAAGAGATAGATTGCCTCCATGGTTGAGCGCCCTGGCATGAACCCGAATTGGTTGTCCGAAACCCGTGTCTCTTGCCTCAATCTATGCTCAATGACTCTCTCCCAGAGCTTCATTGTATGACTCATTAGCTTAATACCCCTATAGTTCATGCAATTTTGTACATCGCCCTTATTCTTGTAGATAGGCACCAAAGTGCTCGTTCGCCACTCATTTGGCATCTTCTTCGTTTTCAAAATCCTATTGAAAAGGTCAGTGAGCCATGTTATACCTGTCTCTCCCAAAACTTTCCACACTTCGATTGGTATATCGTCTGGGCCTACTGCTTTTCTATGCTTCATCTTCTTCAAAGCTACAACCACTTCTTCCTTCCGGATTCTACGATAAAAAGAGTAGTTTCTACACTCTTCTGAGTTACTCAACTCCCCTAAAGAAGCACTCCTTTCATGTCCTTCATTGAAAAGATTATGAAAATAACCTTTCCATCTGTCTTTAACCGCGTTCTCTGTAGCAAGAACCTTTCCATCCTCATCCTTGATGCACCTCACTTGGTTTAGGTCCCTTGTCTTCTTTTCCCTTGCTCTAGCTAGTTTATAGATATCCAACTCTCCTTCTTTGGTATCTAGTCGCTTATACATATCGTCATAAGCCGCTAACTTAGCTTCTCTCACAGCTTTCTTCGCCTCTTGCTTCGCTTTTCTATACCTTTCACCATTTTCATCGGTCCTATCCTTGTATAAGGCTTTACAACATTCCTTCTTAGCCTTCACCTTTGTTTGTACCTCCTCATTCCACCACCAAGATTCCTTTTGGTGTGGGGCAAAGCCCTTGGACTCTCCTAATACCTCTTTTGCTACTTTTCGGATACAACTAGCCATGGAATCCCACATTTGGTTAGCTTCCCCCTCTCTATCCCACACACACTGGGTGATTACTTTCTCTTTGAAAATGGCTTGTTTTTCTTCTTTTAGATTCCACCATCTAGTCCTTGGGCACTTCCAAGTCTTGTTCTTTTTTCTCACTCTTTTGATATGTACATCCATCACCAACAAGCGATGTTGATTAGCCACGCTCTCTCCTGGTATAACTTTGCAATCCTTACAAGTTATACGATCCCCTTTCCTCATTAGAAGAAAATCTATTTGTGTTTTTGACGACCCACTCTTGTAGGTGATCACATGTTCTTCTCTCTTCTTAAAGAAGGTGTTGGCTAAGAAGAGATCATATGCCATTGCAAAATCCAAGATAGCTTCCCCATCCTCGTTTCTCTCCCCAAAACCATGGCCACCATGAAAACCTCCATAGTTGCCTGTCTCCCTGCCCACGTGTCCATTTAAATCTCCTCCTATAAATAACTTCTCCGTCTGAGCAATTCCTTGCACCAAGTCTCCAAGGTCTTCCCAAAATTTCTCCTTCGAACTCGTATCCAACCCTACTTGAGGTGCGTACGCACTAATCACATTGATAAGTTCTTGTCCTATTACAATCTTGATTGCCATGATTCTATCTCCTACCCTCTTGACATCTACAACATCTTGTGTCAAGGTCTTGTCCACGATGATGCCAACACCGTTTCTCGTTCTATTTGTGCCCGAATACCATAGTTTAAACCCTGAGTTTTCTAGATCCTTTGCCTTACGACCAACCCACTTAGTTTCTTGTAGGCACATAATATTTATCCTTCTCCTCACCATAACTTCTACTACTTCCATAGATTTTCCCGTTCAAGGTTCCTATATTCCACGTTCCTAAACGCATTTTGCTCTCTTGAACTCTACCCTTCTGTCCTAGCTTCTTCACCCTTCCCCGTCTAATAGGATCAAAGTACTTCTTTTGTGTGTCCCGTGTAAAGTTGATAGGAGCATATGCTCCCAAACAACTTTGAGTGGAGTCGTTCGAAAAGAAGTTTCTATAGCCCCTTGCTCATTTAACACTGCATCCGGGTGCCGATGGAGATACAACGACCCTTGCTCACTTATCACTGTGCTCGGGCCACACAGCGCGCCACTTATGGGTGACGCCCTAGCTTTAGCGCGATTTCGTTCTGGATTCATTTTCATAAGGATTCGACGTGATCATGGAGTGCCAGCTGTCGACTACCTGACGCCCTCCCCCTCCTCCTTTATCCGGGCTTGGGACCGGCAATGTAAGATAAACTTACACGGCGGAGTTATACAAAATCAACCAACAAATAAAAAATCATATTTTTCAATCACTTTCTCATCCAAATAGAACAGACTGCGATTAATCACCTGTATGGGGGAACAAGCTGCTGATACCCTTCATGGCCAAAGCCGACACAATCTCCTATAATTTCCTCATACTTCGTTTTTCTTTGACAATTTACAAATGCAAAATTTGGATGCTGCAGCGGAAGATCATGCTACAAATTCAAACACAAAAATCCAAATTAAACACAAAATTCAACATTCACAATGCAAAAATGCAAACTAAACACAAAATCAATGCTTTCAAAGTCGTATAGCATATTGGCTTATCACAATTGTTTAGTATAAATTTACCCACATATTATAAAAGATCGTACCCAGTGCACAAGGCTCCCGCTTTACGCAGGGTCTGGGAGAGGTAAATGTCGGCTAGCCTTACCCCCATTTATGGAGAGGCTGCTCCCAAGTCTCGAACCCGAGACCTACCGCTCATGGGCGAAGGAACTTGCCATCGCACCAAGTGCGACCTCTAAATTTACCCACATATTATATATGGATAAAATTAAGTAAAAAAATTAATGATAACTAAATCATACACTGGTAGTCTCCGAATTCCCCCAGCAAGCAAACCGTTGATCGGTTCCCTTGAAAGCTTAGTTAGTGAACGCGCCCACCTGCAAACTCACTGCAGAACTCAATTCATACACATAGGAGAGAGAGTGAGCGAGAGAGAGTACCACAAAGCCCCAATTTCAATCCCACTACAGAAAGAAATCGATTAGATCCCTCAATAAAATGTATAAGAATAATTTACAAAATTTGTTAATACTCATAAATTTTAACCCTTCGTTTGAATGAAGACAAATTATCAGTAAAACCCCACCCCGAATCCCCGCGCTCAATTCCATCAGAAGTGCGAAAATCCCATGATGTGAAATTATTAACCACGATTCATCCAAGTGCCAAAAAAATAAAAATCCAGAAACTAAAAGCAACAATGCAGTAAACCCAGATAAAAACGACGACTAAGGACGCCCCAAAAATAAAAGTGGGAAATCATGAGGGCAACGAAGAACTCACCGAAATGGAATCGTATGGAGAGAGAACCACCGGGAGATGAGTAAAGCGGAAAGCCAAGGAGGGACGACAAATGAGTGAGTTTTGAGTTGTAGGTTTCGAATTTTTCGTTCAGGGGAAAGGGGGAGGAAATTGAATTCTACCCAACAGGTTTTTACGGAACAAATCTGGAAGGAGGAACCGAAAATCAGCCCCCCCATCCCTCCCTCCCTCACTATTTCTCTCCCTGACCATCCCTCACATCCCCCGATCCCTCCCTTTTATTTATCTCTCTGTAATCTCCTCTCACATCCCTCACCCAATCTCTCTCTGTGACCATCCATCAAATCCCCCCCATCCCTTCCTTTTCTGTCTGTAATTTCCCCCATCACTCCCTTTCTCTCTGTGCAATGGCCATGGCTCCCATCGCTCTCTGTCTGCGAATGTCGCCCTCACCCCTTGAACAAACTACCCTCCTAACTTTTAATAATACCCTCCAATTCAGCCACATATTTGATGGCAGTGGTGTAAATAAAGTAAAATCAAGGGTCATGTATAGGAGGGCACCTAAACCCTATGCACAAAATTACCCTCCTAACTTTTAACAAATTACCCTCCAACCCAACCCAAATCTGATAGCTTTGTTGTAAATAACGTGAAATTGGGTAAAAAAAAATTACTGTAGCAATGTACAGGCCAATTTCCCTCCAACTTTAGAATAGATAAATTTGTTTAATATATTTATAATTTTGTGTCAACTCCTCCAATCCAAAACCTGTAGAAACAGAAAACTTCAACAGTAAGTTTTCTTGATTGTATTTACTTGACTGAGAACTTTACACATTGTGTAGGAATATATATAGCCTTTGGCTATTTACATAGATACCCCTAACTACTTTATAACTATCTTAACTAATCACAACTAATACAATCAGTTAATTTACAGTAACAGAATTATTAACAGTAGCAGACTTGGATGACTTGTCATTCTCCCTAATACACCCCCTCAAGCGAGAAGGGGGATCAGAAATGAGACCAATGGGAAGCTTGGAACACAGATAATTAAATCTGGTTTTAGACAGAGACTTGGTGTGAAGATCAGCTAATTGGTCTTCACTGCAGATGAACTTGACTTTGAGAAGTTGAGCCAAAACCAATTCTCTAATATAGTGATAATCGATCTCAACATGCTTTGTTCGAGCATGAAAGACAGGATTAGATGCTAAAGATATTGCTGATATGTTGTCACACCAAAGAGTAGGGAATGTAGAGAGAGGATAGTGCAGATCTTTGAGAATCTTGCAAACCCAAGTTATCTCAGCAGCTGTGTGAGCTAAGGAGCGATATTCAGCCTCTGTAGAGGACCTTGCAACAGTACTTTGCTTCTTGGCACTCCAGCTGATAAGATTGGAACCCAAAAATACACAATAACCAGTGGTTGATCTCCTGTCAATTGTGCAACCAGCCCAGTCGGCATCCGAGTAGGCAGAAAGATGGACAGGGCCTTTAGTGAACCACACACCATGTGAGATAGAGCCTTTGAGAAATCTGAGAACCCTTTTTGCTGCCTGGAGATGTTGTTCCCTGGGAGCATGCATGAATTGGCAGATTTGGTTCACAGCAAAAGCAAAGGTCGGGTCTAGTCCAAGTAAGATATTGTAAACCACCAACAATGGAGCGATATTCAGTAGGATTGGACAGAAGAGGGCCACTGTGATCTAATTTCTTAGAGCCAAGGGGAGTACAACAAGGTTTTGCACCCTCCATATTTGTTTTCTTGAGAAGATCCAATAAGTACTTTGTTTGATGGAGAAATATACCCTGGGAAGATCGATGTACTTCTAATCCCAAGAAATAATGAAGAGGACCAAGGTCTTTTACTGGAAATTGAGCCCCAAGTTGCTGAATGAAGTGTTGACAGAGGTAAGGATAGGGTCCGGTGACAAGAATGTCATCAACATAGACAAGGACAATGACTAAACTGAGGACCATTGAGAACAAATAAAGAAGCATCTGAGGATGATTGGGTGAATCCAAGAGAGTGAAGAGCTTGGAACAGTTTATCAAACCAAGCTCGAGGAGCTTGTTTGAGACCATACAACGATTTCCTCAACTTACAAACAGATGTAGGGTGTAAGGGATCAACAAAACCAGGGGGTTGTTGCATGTAGACATCCTCCTTTAAGTCTCCATGAAGAAAGGCATTACTAATGTCCAATTGATTGAGAAACCAATTATATTGCACAGCAAGGGTAAGAAGGATCCGAATTGTAACCGGTTTGGCAACTGGACTGAAGGTTTTCTTGAAAGTCAATACCTTCTTGTTGATGAAAACCCTTGGCCACAAGCCGGGCTTTATATCTGTCAACAGTGCCATCGGGCTTCTTCTTAATCCGGAAAACCCACTTGCAGCCCACTAAGTTTTGAGAATGGTGAGAAGGAACAAGAGACCAAGTAACCAGTGGTTAGCAAGGCATTAAATTCATCTTGCATAGCTTGCCTCCAATGAGCATGCTTTAGAAGCTTGCAAAGTATGTTGTAGGAACATAATCCATATCAACCGGAAGTGGGTGCTTAGTTGCTGCACAGGCTCTCGACGTGAGTATACCAGCCTTGGATCTAGTAATCATTGGATGAGAATTAACAGGGGCAGGAGGATGACTCTGTTGATTTTGGGAGAAAGATGAATGTGCTGAAGGAGGAACAAAACTGGAAGAAGAGCCAACTGAGACAGGTGCAGGGGAAGATGAAGATGAAGAAATAGGAACAGGCACAGAAGCACATAATGGTGATGTAGATGGCTGACTGAAAACAGGAGGAATGTGTTTGCTAAAATGAAGATCCAGAGAGGAAGAAATTGTTGGTGAGGAAGATGGAGGACTTGGAACAGGAAAAGAGTGTTGAATGTGGGACAACTGAAATGGATAAGTACTTTCATCGAATACAACATGACGAGAGATGTAGATGCGATTGGTGATAGGATCAAGGCACCTATAGCCTTTGTGTTGAAGACTATACCCCAAGAAAACACACTTTTTGCTCTTGGGATCCAATTTGCTATGAAAGTAAGGTTTGAGCCAAGGAAAGCATTGGCAACCAAATACTTTGAGCTTAGAGTAGTCTGGATGGTTGTGAAATAGCAACTGCCAAGGGGACTGTGAAATGCCAGAAATAGGAAGGCGATTAATAAGATAGATAGCAGTGGAGAATGCTTCAACCCAGAAAATATGAGGGACATGAGATGCAAGAAGCAAAGTGCGAGCTGTTTCAACAAGGTGCCTGTGCTTTCTTTCTGCACAACCATTTTGCTCAGGGGTGTGGGGACAACTGAACTGATGAAGAATGCCATGTTTGCTGAGATATGATGCAAAAGAGTGACTAGTAAATTCACCCCCTGAATCTGAACGCAGAACCTTTATTTTATTTCCAAGTGAATTTTCTACATATGATTTGAAGACAACAAATGTAGAAAATACATCTGACTTAGATTTCAAAGGAAAGAACCAACTATATTTGCTATAGTCATCAACAATGAGCAAATAAATATTGAAAACCACTACTTGATGTGATTGAGGCAGGTCCCCACAGATCACAGTGCAGTAGTTGAAGGCTGTGAGTTGATGATGAAGTAGCAGCTTTAAATGGAAGCTTATGATTCTTGGCAAGAGCACAATCCGAACAGAAAAAGTCCACAGTAGACTTGCCTTGTAAAGCAAGATTATTGGATGAAAGGAGCCTTCTAAAAATGGAGGAGGAAGGGTGACCCAAACGCTTGTGCCAAATTGTAACTGGAGCTTTAATACTAAGTAAAGCGGTATGTGAAAGAGGATGAAGATTGCTGGAACTTTGAAGAGGATAGAAGCCATCTCTAACCGGTCCCCGTAAAAGCATCTTCCCCGAAATACGATCCTTGACATAGGATCCATAAGGGTCAAGTGTCAATGAACAATTATTATCATTAACAAACTGATAAGCAGATAAGAGATTATGGGTTATGTGGGGAACATGTAAAACATTTCGCAATTGAAAAGAATTATGAGAGGTGTGCAGAGTAGATGAACCAACATTGAGGATGGATAAACCTTTACCATCTCCAATATACACTTTATCCTCGCCAGTGTAGGGAGTAGGAGAGGTGAGGTTAGCAACATCATTAGTGATATGAGAGGTTGCCCCTGAATCAATTAACCAAGGCTGAGATGGTTTAGCAGAATGTTGTGCACACATGGCAGCAAGCTTAGCTGGAGGAATACGACCACAGATGTCAGGATTCATACGATCAAAGCAGTCAATAGCCTCATGACTGGTAGAACCACAGATTTGACAAAGCACTTTGAAGTGAGAAGAGCCTTGATTGCTGCGAAATCCTTGATAACCTCGATTGCCACGGTTATTAGGAAAATTACCACGATTACCTCGATGACCTCGATTGGAAAAGAACTGGCCCTTAGTGTTCCTGCCACGATTAGAGTTGAACCGAGATGCAGATTGAAGAGGGAGATTCTGAGCAGCAAAAGCAGATGGAGTAGGAAGGAGATGAGGCTGAGACTGCACCGAGAAAGCCTGAAAAGATTCAGGGACAGGAAGATGAACTGACAGTTTTTGCGTCTGGCCATAGACAATTCCTTTGTGAGAAGGAGGCCATGAAGTTCATCAAGAGAGGTAGAGGACAATCGGAGCATGATACAGTCGATGAAAGACTCAAATTCATCAGGCAAGCCATGTAGTGTGGCGGCGATAAGATCTCGATCAGAGACAGAAGCACCAGCAGCTTGCAGAGAATCTGAAATTTCCTTGAGTTCTTGAAGATAGTCAGAGATAGAACGCGATCCTTTCTGAACAGATTGAAGGCGCGATCGCAACTGATGGATATGAGCCTCTGAAATTCCACCAAAGCGCTGTGTTCAAGCTTTACCCAAAGTTCTCGAGAGGATGAAACCCCAACCGTGAACGGGATGATTTCCTCAGAAAGTGTGGAATTCAACCAGATCAAAAGATTTTGATCTTTCTCATACCAGTCCTCAAAAGCAGGATTGATGCTACGATCAGGCAGAAATGGCGATGGACAGACGTCAGTACCATCGATTACTCCAAGAAGCTTGTATCGCCGGAAAATCGGGCCAAACAGGGCCGCGCCATGGTAGGTAATTGGATCTTTTGAGCTTGATCGGCACCATGCTGCCGATGTTATGAATTGTGAGAGAAGTGTAGGAAGTCCAGAGGACTCGGATTTCCAGAGGAATTAGGGTTTCCAGAGAAATTAGGGTTTGGGCTCGAGGGGGAGATGACCGGAGAAGATGAACCAGTCGATTGAGCCGCCATTACTGACAGAAATCAAGAAATACTACAAGATCGGAAGGGAAGAAGTGACGATCAGAGAAGAAAAATCGATCATGAGTCGATCGATGCAGCAAGCGAAGAGAAGATCAGAGAAGAAAAATCGATCAAGAGTCGATCGATGCAGCAAGCGAAGAGAAAGATCGAAGCTGTGAAGCGGAATGGCGTGATACCATGTAGAAAACAGAAAACTTCNGATAATCGATCTCAACATGCTTTGTTCGAGCATGAAAGACAGGATTAGATGCTAAAGATATTGCTGATATGTTGTCACACCAAAAGTAGGGAATGTAAGAGAGAGGATAGTGCAGATCTTTGAGAATCTGCAAACCCAAGTTATCTCAGCAGCTGTGTGAGCTAAGGAGCGATATTCAGCCTCTGTAGAGGACCTTGGCAACAGTACTTTGCTTCTTGGCACTCCAGCTGATAAGATTGGAACCCAAAAATACACAATAACCAGTGGTTGATCTCCTGTCAATTGTGCAACCAGCCCAGTCGGCATCCGAGTAGGCAGAAAGATGGACAGGGCCTTTAGTGAACCACACACCATGTGAGATAGAGCCTTTGAGAAATCTGAGAACCCTTTTTGCTGCCTGGAGATGTTGTTCCCTGGGAGCATGCATGAATTGGCAGATTTGGTTCACAGCAAAAGCAAGGTCGGGTCTAGTCCAAGTAAGATATTGTAAACCACCAACAATGGAGCGATATTCAGTAGGATTGGACAGAAGAGGGCCACTGTGATCTAATTTCTTAGAGCCAAGGGGAGTACAACAAGGTTTTGCACCCTCCATATTTGTTTTCTTGAGAAGATCCAATAAGTACTTTGTTTGATGGAGAAATATACCCTGGGAAGATCGATGTACTTCTAATCCCAAGAAATAATGAAGAGGACCAAGGTCTTTTACTGGAAATTGAGCCCCAAGTTGCTGAATGAAGTGTTGACAGAGGTAAGGATAGGGTCCGGTGACAAGAATGTCATCAACATAGACAAGGACAATGACTAAACTGAGGACCATTGAGAACAAATAAAGAAGCATCTGAGGATGATTGGGTGAATCCAAGAGAGGAAGAGCTTGGAACAGTTTATCAAACCAAGCTCGAGGAGCTTGTTTGAGACCATACAACGATTTCCTCAACTTACAAAATGTAGGGTAAAGGGATCAACAAAACCAGGGGGTTGTTGCATGTAGACATCCTCTCTTTAAGTCTCCATGAAGAAAGGCATTACTAATGTCCAATTGATTGAGAAACCAATTATATTGCACAGCAAAGGGTAAGAAGGATCCGAATTGTAACCGGTTTGGCAACTGGACTGAAGGTTTTCTTGAAAAGTCAATACCTTCTTGTTGATGAAAACCCTTGGCCACAAGCCGGGCTTTATATCTGTCAACAGTGCCATCGGGCTTCTTCTTAATCCGGAAAACCCACTTGCAGCCCACTAAGTTTTGAGAATGGTGAGAAGGAACAAGAGACCAAAGTAACCAGTGGTTAGCAAGGCATTAAATTCATCTTGCATAGCTTGCCTCCAATGAGCATGCTTAGAAGCTTGCAAGTATGTTGTAGGAACATAATCCATATCAACCGGAAGTGGGTGCTTAGTTGCTGCACAGGCTCTCGACGTGAGTATACCAGCCTTGGATCTAGTAATCATTGGATGAGAATTAACAGGGGCAGGAGGATGACTCTGTTGATTTTGGGAGAAAGATGAATGTGCTGAAGGAGGAACAAAACTGGAAAGAAGAGCCAACTGAGACAGGTGCAGGGGAAGATGAAGATGAAGAAATAGGAACAGGCACAGAAGCACATAATGGTGATGTAGATGGCTGACTGAAAACAGGAGGAATGTGTTTGCTAAAAAATGAAGATCCAGAGAGGAAGAAATTGTTGGTGAGGAAGATGGAGGACTTGGAACAGGAAAAGAGTGTTGAATGTGGGACAACTGAAATGGATAAGTACTTTCATCGAATACAGACATGACGAGAGATGTAGATGCGATTGGTGATAGGATCAAGGCACCTATAGCCTTTGTGTTGAAGACTATACCCCAAGAAAACACACTTTTTGCTCTTGGGATCCAATTTGCTATGAAAGTAAGGTTTGAGCCAAGGAAAGCATTGGCAACCAAATACTTTGAGCTTAGAGTAGTCTGGATGGTTGTGAAATAGCAACTGCCAAGGGGACTGTGAAATGCCAGAAATAGGAAGGCGATTAATAAGATAGATAGCAGTGGAGAATGCTTCAACCCAGAAAATATGAGGGACATGAGAATGCAAGAAGCAAAGTGCGAGCTGTTTTCAACAAGGTGCCTGTGCTTTCTTTCTGCACAACCATTTTGCTCAGGGGTGTGGGGACAACTGAACTGATGAAGAATGCCATGTTTGCTGAGATATGATGCAAAAGAGTGACTAGTAAATTCACCCCCTGAATCTGAACGCAGAACCTTTATTTTATTTCCAAGTGAATTTTCTACATATGATTTGAAGACAACAAATGTAGAAAATACATCTGACTTAGATTTCAAAGGAAAGAACCAACTATATTTGCTATAGTCATCAACAATGAGCAAATAATATTGAAAACCACTACTTGATGTGATTGAGGCAGGTCCCCACAGATCACAGTGCAGTAGTTGAAGGCTGTGAGTTGATGATGAAGTAGCAGCTTTAAATGGAAGCTTATGATTCTTGGCAAGAGCACAATCCGAACAGAAAAAGTCCACAGTAGACTTGCCTTGTAAAGCAAGATTATTGGATGAAAGGAGCCTTCTAAAAATGGAGGAGGAAGGGTGACCCAAACGCTTGTGCCAAATTGTAACTGGAGCTTTAATACTAAGTAAAGCGGTATGTGAAAGAGGATGAAGATTGCTGGAACTTTGAAGAGGATAGAAGCCATCTCTAACCGGTCCCCGTAAAAGCATCTTCCCCGAAATACGATCCTTGACATAGGATCCATAAGGGTCAAGTGTCAATGAACAATTATTATCATTAACAAAACTGATAAGCAGATAAGATTATGGGTTATGTGGGGAACATGTAAAACATTTCGCAATTGAAAAGAATTATGAGAGGTGTGCAGAGTAGATGAACCAACATTGAGGATGGATAAACCTTTACCATCTCCAATATACACTTTAATCCTCGCCAGTGTAGGGAGTAGGAGAGGTGAGGTTAGCAACATCATTAGTGATATGAGAGGTTGCCCCTGAATCAATTAACCAAGGCTGAGATGGTTTAGCAGAATGTTGTGGCACACATGGCAGCAAGCTTAGCTGGAGGAATACGACCACAAGATGTCAGGATTCATACGATCAAAGCAGTCAATAGCCTCATGACTGGTAGAACCACAGATTTGACAAAGCACTTTGAAGTGAGAAGAGCCTTGATTGCTGCGAAATCCTTGATAACCTCGATTGCCACGGTTTATTAGGAAAATTACCACGATTACCTCGATGACCTCGATTGGAAAAGAACTGGCCCTTAGTGTTCCTGCCACGATTAGAGTTGAACCGAGATGCAGATTGAAGAGGGAGATTCTGAGCAGCAAAAGCAGATGGAGTAGGAAGGAGATGAGGCTGAGACTGCACCGAGAAAGCCTGAAAAGATTCAGGGACAGGAGATGAACTGACAGTTTTGCGTCTGGCCATAGACAATTCCTTTGTGAGAAGGAGGCCATGAAGTTCATCAGAGAGGTAGAGGACAATCGGAGCATGATACAGTCGATGAAAGACTCAAATTCATCAGGCAAGCCATGTAGTGTGGCGGCGATAAGATCTCGATCAGAGACAGAAGCACCAGCAGCTTGCAGAGAATCTGAAATTTCCTTGAGTTCTTGAAGATAGTCAGAGATAGAACGCGATCCTTTCTGAACAGATTGAAGGCGCGATCGCAACTGATGGATATGAGCCTCTGAAATTCCACCAAAGCGCTGTTCAAGCTTTACCCAAAGTTCTCGAGAGGATGAAACCCCAACCGTGAACGGGATGATTTCCTCAGAAAGTGTGGAATTCAACCAGATCAAAAAGATTTTGATCTTTCTCATACCAGTCCTCAAAAGCAGGATTGATGCTACGATCAGGCAGAAATGGCGATGGACAGACGTCAGTACCATCGATTACTCCAAGAAGCTTGTATCGCCGGAAAATCGGGCCAAACAGGGCGCGCCATGGTAGGTAATTGGATCTTTTGAGCTTGATCGGCACCATGCTGCCGATGTTATGAATTGTGAGAGAGAAGTGTAGGAAGTCAGAGGACTCGGATTTCCAGAGGAATTAGGGTTTCCAGAGAAAATTAGGGTTTGGGCTCGAGGGGGAGATGACCGGAGAAGATGAACCAGTCGATTGAGCCGCCATTACTGACAGAAATCAAGAAAATACTACAAGATCGGAAGGGAAGAAGTGACGATCAGAGAAGAAAAATCGATCATGAGTCGATCGATGCAGCAAGCGAAGAGAAGATCAGAGAAGAAAAATCGATCAAGAGTCGATCGATGCAGCAAGCGAAGAGAAAGATCGAAGCTGTGAAGCGGAATGGCGTGATACCATGTAGAAACAGAAAACTTCAACAGTAAGTTTTCTTGATTGTATTTACTTGACTGAGAACTTTACACATTGTGTAGGAATATATATAGCCTTTGGCTATTTACATAGATACCCCTAACTACTTTATAACTATCTTAACTAATCACAACTAATACAATCAGTTAATTTACAGTAACAGAATTATTAACAGTAGCAGACTTGGATGACTTGTCATTCTCCCTAATACTAATTGGATCAAATATATACGGACATATATTCTACATTTATGTATACTAATTGTCACAGCCCGTTCCAAAATATTACATTCGTGGCTGTGAATGAACGAAATTGCCCTTAAGAAATACTAAGTATGTGAAGCTCAAGTTGATAATTATCTAGGTTCCTAAGTTTTGAAAATAAAATGGAATTTATTAAGGATTGAACTTAGATTTTTAGGTTAAAATTTTATGGTTTGGAGTTGGGGATTGGAAAAGGACCACGTGGGATCCCCACACCCCTCAATCCTCTCCCTATTTTCTGCATGCTGTCTCTCTCTCTCTTCCCTCACGACTCTCTCACTCTCTCTGTCACTCTTCTTCTCCGTTCGAACAAACCAACCACAAAACAACCTTAAACTTCCACCAACGACAGAGTTAAGACCACCATCAAACTCCTGGAACCTCCACGATCACGATGGTATCCATTTCAGGTAAGTTTTGCTTCGGAAAACCCTAGTTTCAAAGTTCCCGTGAAATGGTATTGTTCATGATCTTCTAAATGACTACGTTTTAGGCTAAAACAAGATCATAGCGAGCTTAGTGAGGTCCCAAGGAAGCTCGGAGTGCTTCGTTGGAAGTTTTTGGATGTAAGAACACGGAGATCGACAAGTTCAAAGTTTGGCCGGAGCTTTCGAGGCATTTTCCGGCGAATATCCGGTGAGTTAGGAGTCGAGGTAGGTATCAATCTCTTCGTCTCGTCAAGTACTACAACTTTCCTTTTTGTTTCACTCAATTTCGTTGAGTATTGAAGAAGTTATACTGATTTGAAAAATACCCAGTTTCTGGCGACCTCCGAGGCTTTCGAAGCAGTTTCCGGCCAAACCACGGCGAACTAGGTGTTGTGCAAGGTACCATTCTCTTTGTCTCTTCAAGGGCTACAACTTTCGTTTTTGAATCACTTGATTTCGTTGAGAAATGACAAAGTTATGGCAATTTGAAAAACGGCCGCCGGAAAAACCAGTCCGGCGACCCAAGGAAGAAGAAGGTGCGCGTGGGGGCGCGTAGGTCCGTGCCTTCCTTGGCGCGTGGGGGCGCGTGCTACAGTAAAAAATTATTTTAATGAGTAGATCACTGTGGTATATTCATATACCCAAATTGAACACCGTATGAGAAAGTTATTAAGGATTGTTGGTTAGGTGTTCGAATAACGTTTTATAGTTTTCGCATTAGGTGAAAATGTGAATTGATGATCCGACCGTTGGATCGTTACCAAACTTTGATACGTTGTAATACGTAATATTTGAGGATTATTGGAACTTACGGATTGGGAATCCGAGTTACGGATCTTCCGGAATTAGAATTGTAAGTTCATAAAATAAAATGTTAACCGTCACTTAGTTTTGGAAATTGACGGAGATCCGACCGTTGGATGGTAATGAAATTTTAGGATGTTATCCTAGAGATATATTGTGGACCTCTGGAAGTTATGGATTTAAAATCTGAGTGGCAGATCTTCCGGATCGATCTACGTAGTGACATATTTTATATAAGTTATATGTTCTATCGATATGAATTCTGAGGCTGGATTTGATTACTGTTCTAGACGGCGATCGTCATGACGCCTTGATGTGTGGTGCTAGGGAGTTGTTGGACGAACTCCAGGTGAGTGGGCAGTTTTGTTTTCCGTATATATATACTTGACGTTTTCCCAGAAATTGAATTAGAATGAAATTATGTTTTAAATGAAAGGTATATAGAATTATATGAAAACGTGAATTGAAAGGTCATGCATAGAAGTATATGAAATGTATATAGAAATGTGAATCGAATTGCCATGCATGAAATGATATGAATTGAAATATGATGCATATGTATGAATTGGTGCGGCGGACGCACAGGTGAGTATCAGGTGAGTATTTAAGTACTGTTATGATGATGTTGATATATATTGAGCTCAAATCCTGCACCATGGTTTAGTGCTTATAGTATTCACCGCATCGCACGCTCGCCTTGGATCCAAGTAGATGCTGGTCGCACAGTCCACGCGGAGTGGGTGCGACGGGCCAGTCGAAGAGTGTTAGTGAGATTTCGACTGGTGGGTGACCTTAGATTATGTGCACAGATGATTGATGAGAAAGCACTAGAGCGTAACTTGTGTGCAGAAGGCCGGACAGGTCACAGAGGTGACTCCCGGCAGAGTGAGAGTGATAGATTTTGAGCTCTAGGTTCAACCGTACAGGGCTATTAGAGGGCCTCCGGTTGATTACTTTCTTGCACCTGATATGATTATTGTTGATGCATCCATACTTAACTGTTGAATTAGACATGGCATGGCATGTTTGATAAAGAAAAATGTTGAGATAGTAAAAATGAAGTTTGAGAATATATATGTATATTTATATTTTACATTTCTGGGAAAGTATACAAGTTTTACGGAGAGGGTTACAACGTTTTGAGAAATGTTTGGATTTGGAAAAGAATTGTTTTACTGACCCACTCAATTTTGGTTTTGCGCCCCTCCAGGTTCAGGAATCACAAAGGTGTGGTGACTACGAGGAATTTGACGGTGTTCTGACAGATTGGACAAAAATTAGGACTCACCTTCGGGTGTATCAACTTATAAATTGTATCTTAAAGCTTCCGTACTGTGCAAATGGTTACGTCACTCTCTCGTGACGGCCAGCATGCCCTCCTTCGGGACAGGGTGTGTCACTAATACCATAAAAAGTAGGTAAATTAATTTTGTTACAAATTTAAAAAGTAGGCACATTTATTGTTGAAAATAAACACTAAATTAGGTATATTCAAATTGAAATTTGTTGTCGAAATTAAAAAAAATTCCAAATTAATTCCTCCATCTAGAACCATATTTCATGGCTATAAGACCTTGCCAAATTCAATGCACGTAATCACTTAAAGCAAAATTACAAGACCTTTCCATACTGGCTTAGATGGGGTATATTAGGGATCCAAAAAATATAAAAATGGACACACAAACTTAATTTGGTAAGTTTCTTAGTTGGATCCTAATCATTTGGTTTTATTCAGATAAATATTATATGTTGGGCTAGAGACTAGAAAAATGAGTTTGGACGGGAAAAGTTAAATTTTCAGAAAAAATAATACATACATACATATATATATATATATATATATATATATATATATTATCAATGTATTGACAGCACTAGAATTTTAAATTTATTTTCTAACGGCTTATACACCTCACACTTGTTATTCTAATGCATGTGGTCTTGTTCTTTCTTTGTTCTTGTAGGTTTCTTTCAATATCTATGGCAACAAATCGGTAAGGGGTCCTCTTTTTGTTTTATTTACAAGTTTTCGATCGACAAACTTGATTTTTTAAATTTTGAAGACTGGGTGAGCTATTGCTAATGTTGTGTATTCTTCTTGACATTTTTTTACTGTAGGTCATGAAAAAAATCTATTTGCGTAAGAAGTTTCTTCCCAAAAGCTTCTTTTATTTTTTGTGTGCTCTATCTGTACTTCTTAAACCTAGTAACTGTATGTCTTTGCTCACTTTTCCGTGGTATGTACTGCAGCAGCTGGCAAGTTGCGTCCATCGTTATATATGGGTAAGAGCTTCATTTAATTAGTCCATCTAGTCTTTTGATTTTGGGTATCTTTATCGGCACCCAAATTTTAGTGAAGTTCACCTAACTAAAACATTTTGTCAAACTTCATAGTTTCCCCTCATTTTTAAGTTCGCCCAAATCCACACCAGCCTCCACCTACCAAAACAAAGAGAAAATGAACAGACAAAACCACTACCGCGCGCCCAACAAAACTACACCACCCTCCGGTCCCTCCCTCGTAGACGCGTCGATGCCGGCTCCTTGGTGGGTCTGTGTGTTCCTTCTCTTTCTATTGGTGAATGGTACTGGTGGCTGTGTGTTGTTGGTTTTTTTGGTGAGTGGTAGTTGCTGCTTTGTGGGTTGGGTGAACTCAATTTCGACGGCAAATTAAAAAGTTTGATGACAAAAATTTTTTAGTTGAGTAAAACTAACTAAAATTTGGATGTCAATAAAGGCACCCTTTGATTTTTTTTATTTTTTTTTCACTTTATGCACTTTTCAAACTCATAGTCGATTGATTTTGTTGCAGTACGTGTATGGTTTATACTCATATGCATCGGTAAGGACTAAGACGAGATTGTATTATCAACATATGTACATTTCCCATTCTCTCTTTAATTACATCAAAGACAAAGTAATTTGGAAAGAAAGGGAAGAAAAAGTAGTACGCAGTGGATCTAACATATTAATGTCAATGCATGTAGGGTTATTTTTCCTAGCCAGATTTGTTTTTGGAGTTCCAATTGTGACTGCATTTCTAATCTACACATGGCGCAGAAGACATTTATCAATGTATAGCACAATAGAAGATTTTCTGCAATGCAATAACAACTTCATGCCTATAAGGTACTCTTACTCGGACGTCAAGAAAATGACTCGCAAGTTTAAGGACAAGTTGGGCAAAGGTGGCTTTGGCTCTGTATTTAAGGGAAAGCTACGCAGTGGTCGATTTGTAGCAGTTAAAGTTTTGGCCAAGCCCAAAGCTGATGGCCAAGATTTCATTAGCGAATTAGCTACAATCGGAAGGATTCACCATGCCAATGTGGTGCAACTTGTTGGATACTATGTTGAGGGATCAAAACGCGCTCTAGTCTATGACTTCATGCCTAATGGTTCTCTTGATAAATACATTTATTCCAAAGAAGGAAGTGTCCCCTTAACTATCAAGAACATGTACGAGATTTCTCTTGGAGTGGCTCAAGGGATCGAATATCTACACCAAGGTTGCGAAATGCAAATTCTACATTTCGACATCAAGCCTCATAACATCCTTCTTGATGAGAACTTTAAAGCAAAGGTTTCTGACTTTGGGCTTGCAAAATTGTATCATGTAGATAATAGCATTGTCTCTTTGACAGCAGCACGGGGTACACTGGGATATATTGCTCCTGAGTTGTTCTACAAAAATATTGGAGGCGTCTCATATAAGTCAGATGTCTATAGTTTTGGAATGTTGTTGATGGAAATGGCAAGCAGAAGGAGGAATTTGAATCCAACGGTAGAGCATTCAAGCCAAATCTACTTCCCAATGTGGGTATACGATCAGTATATTGTAGGAAATGACTTGGAAATGGACAATGTTACAGAGGAGGAAAAGAAAGTAATAAGAAAGATGGTTATAACCGCCTTGTGGTGTATTCAAATGAAACCAAGTGATCGCCCTTCGATGTCCAAAGTTGTCAAAATGCTTGGAGGAGATGTTGAATGTCTGCAAATGCCTCTCAGGCCTTCTCTATGCCCCCAAAAGACGCCTGTGACAGTGGGTGATATTCAAGACAATGAATTGAACCCAAGATGTTCTAACGCGGAGCTAACGTGTTCATTGTCAGCTAGGTGATAGTCAAATGGTTAAGAAAGTGCAGTAATGTATTATTAATTAAATTCTTGCCTTAAAGTGATTTAGTGAATAACTATTGTCTGTAATTGTTTGGCTTGGATTCATCTAAGAACGACTTGTGTTGGTGCGTATACATATACGTATGTTACTCTAATTCAGCAATTGCTTCTAACTGTATGAGGCTTTTAGGGTTGCTTGCATCATCAAGTTTTCTCCTCCTCCTAACATCCGAACCACCGTTTTCATGGACCGCCGATCCACTGAGTGTCACTGGCTGCACCAGAGCCCTAAACTTGCAAGTTGCTTTGGAATCTTACCATAACATTCTTCCTCAATAGGGATCTGTTGGTCATTTCCTTCCTCTAGAAGATTATAAATCCATTTTGGATAGTAGATTTCATTTGTCGTGTCCTCTGGTTGAACCAATATTCTTCTTTTCTCCTACCATCTCAAGCAGCAGCATTCAAGACATCTGCCTTGTAAGACACATTTCCGAAATTCCTGGAAAACACTTCGGGTGCTTTAGTCACATAGTCCCCCTTGCTTTAGTCACGCCGATTGATCCTTGGAACATAACTTGGCCAGACCAAAATCAGAGATTTTTGGCGTGATTTTTTGGTTGAGCAAAACATTATGGGGTTTGATATCGAAATGGAGGATTTGTAGATCACATCCTTGGTTCCTTTGGCTATGCTGATAGCAATATCTTGTAACTTATGCCAACCAAGGAAAGAAATCTATCTACTGATGAAATATAATCCTGGAGTGAACCAAAGGAAAAGAACTCATAAACCAGAGCTCATCTAAATCCATCAGCACAAAAACCAACCAAGTGAACCACATTGACATGGTGAATATGGCCCATTGTTAAGTACTTCATGGCAACAAAGCATTCAGAAAAAAGCATTCCTTTAAAAATAGTTCCGTATGCTCCTTGGCCCAACTTGTACTTGAATTGATTTGTAAACCTCTTAATATCTGCATGGGAATATATGCTTGGCTTAAGATCTTTGTAGTCCGCTGAAAACTTATCAAATTTCATTCGATTCTCTTTTTACTTTTGTCAGTGCTATAGGCGTGATATGCCGCAATGACCAGCAGTTACAGAACAAATGAACCCAGGGTTACTCCTGCAAATAGATAGATATTATCCATGAGTGTAAACATTTATTCTCAAGTGTCCTTTGGACATGAAACAAAGCTCCTACACAACTCACCCTTGCAAACGTCTTTGTTTTGCCTGCAAAAGACAGTTGCAAAAATTAGACTGTCATTTCTCGAAATTAATCAATATCGCACTTGGTGCGATGGCAAGTGTCTTCGCCCATGAGCGGTAGGTCTTGGGTTTGAGACTTTGGAGCAGCCTCTCCATAAAATGGGGGTAAGGCTAGCCGACATTCACCTTTCAGACCCTGCGTAAAGCGGGAGCCTTGTGCACTGGGTACGACCTTTTTTAATCAATATGGTTACCACAAATATAAGCCGTTAATTACATGAAAGCGGAAAAATCACAGCATGTAGCAGAGTATACCGATCATCATCATTCAAAACATCATGAGCTGAATGGATTCAAAATAAGATTTAGACGTGTTATCCTTACTTGGTTTCCTCCTGTCAACAAGTTCAATTTCGCTCTTGGTGCCATTGTTCTTCAATCTACACCTCTTGCCCTTTGCTTCACATTTGATTCAATTTGGTTTAGACCATTTGAAATGCATTTGAAATGCAGTGTTTTAATTTCATTTCCCACCCGACCACCAAATGGAACTGATGAAACACCATACGCCTTTATACAAGATTGCAGGGCAGGGAAGCTTTCAAATAATTGAAAGAACGAAGAAACGCCATAAATTCTGTTGCCAGGGACACTGAGGCAAGGGGACTTGCTATATATAGAAGGAAGGAGAGAGGGTGGGATAAGTCCATGAAATCCATGGAATCAGTGAGGGAGGCTTAAAGAGAGTTGGTTGGATTGTGTGATTCGGTCAGGGGAAATTACTAGGAGAGAAATAGAAAGGGAAAAATGGGTATTTGGTGGATGGTTACAGAGACAGAATAGGTGAGGGTTTATGTATTTTTTATTCCGGCCCTAGAAAATTATAGTCTCACAATTGCCTCTAACCATTCATCTGAGGGGCAACCTGTTCCCCTTGAAGATGAATTATTATCCAAAGAGCTACCTGTTGAACCGTCCGTCGGGAAAGAAGATCTACATGACGACCAGCTTATTCGTCAGTTAAAACACTCACATCTTCGCTCCAAATGTTTGCCCAACGACCGATGTCTTAACCTACGAACTCTAGCCATCCTGTAAATTTATTCAATCAACCCAGTTTGTTGACTGATTTTGCCCTACTAAACTTATATTCTGTCGGTTAAAAAAGGTGAAACCGACGAAATCTTCTGTCGCGCAATAGTTGACAGGGCAAGCCATAAATTCTAGTAGTGCAAGCATAGCATCTGCTGGAATAAGTAGTTCTTAGATGAATCCAAGAACTAAAGGATTTAGTCTTATAATTTTAGATGTATACTAGCAAGTGTACCCGCCCGTTGCCGCGGGGCTTGAAACATTGTTGAAGATGTAGAAAGTTTTGAAAAATATATATGCTAAAGAGTGGTGTTTATATACATATATTACATACATATGTTTACAAAGTGCTATTTACATTCATACATTACATGACAAAAGTTGGAGATGTTGTTATGCCCTCCTCAAAGATTGTTTTCAAAAGTTATGAGTCTATCTCATGGAGTATTTTATGTTTACAACTATACAAAGTTAAAAAAATTCAGTTTTATTCCACTAAAGGCATCCAAAATACGACAATGCTGAACTGAAAATCAAAAGAAGAAGGAATTAAAAACCTAATTTGATCACTCATGAATTGAATAACCCTAAACCATACGATTTGAACTAAATGAAAATGTAAAGATGAAGGGAAATTTGTCATAATTTCATTATGCAAGATTTCACTATGCTAGATTTCATTTTAGGCACCAAAACAAATTCATAAAATTAAAGTTGGGGTTTCCATATTCTCTATTGGGTATCGAAAGTCGTGAAAAGCTTGGAAATAACAAATCAAGTGTTTACCTGCAGATTAAGTGTTCTGTTTTCATCCTGCAAAAAACTCAAATTCCAGAAACAACAAAAATGCAAACTTCATATGGAAATTGAAGGTTTACCTGCTGATCAAGTGTTTTGTTTTCATCCTGCAACTTGGTTACCTAAAAAACAAAAAAAAAAGATCCATTAACAATATAGAAACCAAATACATATTGAACACTCTATACCTCACATGTACAGACCAAATATGGAAGTCAAAATAGACATTCAAAACTGATACAAAAATACTACATAAATTCTTTTCAACCCTATCTGTCTTAAAATAAAATTAAAGGGGTCATATTGCAGAACAAAAGTATACCACCTGCAGCAAGCTTCAGCTCTGTCTCCAATGGAGCAATGATGGACTCAACAGATAGCATTTCATCGTCTTTCTGTGCAGCGTGAACTCTTCAAAGTGTGACTTCTGCTGCAATATTTTGATATAAAACAAAACCCCCATAATCAGATTAATTAGGGTTTTTTCTTCATAGTTTCATGTACTTCAAAAGATATATGATGTAAATTATACTTGAGTATTATCACTGTATAAAAAATACTAAACGGATATATCACATTTAAGCTTAAGTATGCTGATTACCGAAAACTTTAAATGGTTCTTCAAATTATCATTGTTTACATCAAGAAATCATTGAAACATTGTTGAAGATGTAGAAAGTTTTGAAAAATATACATGCTAAAGACTGTTTATATACATATATTACATCCATATGTTTACAAAGTGCTATTTACATTCATACATTACATGACAAAAGTTGGAGATGTTGTTATGCCATCCTCAAGGATTGTTTTCAAATGCTATGAGTCTATCTGATGGAGTATTTTATGTTTACAACTATACAAAGTTAAAAAATTCAGTTTTATTCCGCTAAAGGCATCCAAATCCATAACTATGTTACTGGCACCTTTTTCATTTTGTACGACAATGTTGAACTGTAAATCAAAAGAAGAAGGAATTAAAAACATAATTTGATCACTCATGAATTGAATAACCCTAAATTGCATACAAATTGAACTAAATGAAAATCTAAAGATGAAGGGAAATTTGTCATAATTTCATTATGCAAGATTTCACTATGCTAGATTTCATTTTAGGCACCAAAACCAATTCATAAAATTAAAGTTGGGGTTTCCATTTTCTCTATTAGGTATCAAGAGTCGTGAAAAGCTCGGAAATAACCAAAGTACACACCTAAGAAAAACATAAGCAATAAACCATTTCCAACTCCTCAAGTCATTCATCAAACATGGTAATACAATCATCGAGACACACTCAATCATTTATCCTAAACCTAAATAAGAATAATTAGGTTTAGGATTAATACCCAAACAGTCAAGCCTTCACTTCTACTTGTTTTGGTCCTTGCTGCAAAAATGCAGGCCTGTCGTTATGCTCCTCTGGATATGGCGTCAAAAAGTATTTTTCCTGCCTACCCTCAACATCCTAATACATGGATAATGCAGCTTGGTTAACAACTCTCCTCCTATGCTTCTTCAAAGCTCAAAACTTTCACACTCAATGGATCAAATAAGCCTTGTTTTTAATACCCTTTTGGAGTTTGATCTTTAAGTCAGTTAAATTTTTTATTTATTTTGTCTGATTTGAATTTGTGGGTTTTATCTCCCAATCTCAAAAGCTTATAGTTTTATATATTAACAATCCACACAAAAATAAATATCACTTGTATGATAATCATTTTCTAATCCCCATAAATAAACAACTCAATATCTTCTTCCAATCCCAATTCTTCTATCATATAATTGCCATTAATAATCACATATGTGAAATCGTAATCTATGTGATAGAATTGAGAAATAATAAAAACTCAAATTCCAGAAACAACGAACATGCAAACTTCATATGGAAATTGAAGGTTTACCTGCAGATCAAGTGTTCTGATGTCATCCTGCAACTTGGTTACCTTAATAAAATTATATTAAAATTAAAAAAAAAAAAAGGATCCATTAACAATATAGAAACCAAATACATATTGAACACTATACCTCTCACATGTACAGACGATATATGGAAGCCAAAATAGACACTCAAAACTGATACAAAAATACTACATAAATTTTTGTAGTATTTTTGTATCAGTTTTAAAATAAAATTAAAGGGGTCATATTGCATAACAAATGTATAACTCCTGCAGTAAGCTTCAGCTCTGTCTCCAATGGAGCAATGATAGACTCAACGGGTAGCATTTCATCATCTTTCTGTGCAGCATGAACTCTTCAAAGTGTGACTTCTGTTGCAATATATTGATATAAAACAAAACCCTCACAATCAGATTAATTCGAGTTTGACGACCAAGCAGAGGCCGAATCAATTTTGTTGACGATCGTAGCAAGAACCTTGGGAGTAAGAGAACTCGTAATCCAAGATAGGATCATCTGGTCAGTCTGGATCCATTCATTATATAATGGATTGACTTTATCGGTGAATTTACCATTGTCATCAAGAAGAAAGAGGGGCATTGAGTTTCGCCAGTAACATAAGAGAGTAAGTTGCGGCTGCGCAGCAAGGGAAGAAACTGAGCATGCCAAAGAGGGTAGTTGTTGCGGTCGAGCTTGATCGTAAGAAAATTTGTGATGGAGGGAGCAGCGGAGGAGGAAGAAGATGCCATAGTTTAGGATCTGCAAAAGAGAAAAAAATTATAATAGGAACCGTTGTCGTTAGACGCTGGCTCGTGATACCATGAAAGATAGTAAATATGATTTGCAGAATCTCAACTCTTAATTAGAGTGAGCGATGTTCATTGATATTTATAGGAGTACTATACAAACACACGTAGAACTAGGATTACAATCTAAACAGGACGTGGACTAAATATAAGTTAAGTCAGGATGAAACTTGTTCTGCAGTAGGCATGTCGTCTGAGGATTCCATGTTGGAATTGGATTGTGATTGTGCAGTAGCAAACAGAGATGGAATGGGATTTGGTTTATCATTTTCTTCATAGTTTCATGTACTTCAAAAGATATATGATGTAAATTATACTTAAGTATTATCACTGTATAAAAAAAATACTAAACGGATATATCACATTTAAGTTTAAGTATGCTGATTACCAAAATACTTTAAATGGTTCCTCAAGTTATAATTGTTTACATCAAGAAATTAATTATATACCCTCTGTTTCTATAATATATGTATCTTTGATTATAAAATCAATAGAACTTTTTACTATTGATCTTAGCATAATAGAACAGATAAGAGCTAATGAGATCGAGCTAAGCTACTTCACCTCTTCCATAAGACCACGTCTCCACCCAAGCCTAGACATCCCGACATTGCCAAGATAGGTGTGTCGTCCTACCTGCAAGATTTACATAGAAATGAAAATTTGAAAGAGGTTTAAGCATGAACAAATTGTAAAACCGCAAAACTTAATAGCACCAAATTGTGTTGCAAGCAAGCACCAACCCTCATGAATAAAAGGTGGGTACACAAAATTGGCAGGAGATGAACTTGTTTCATGAAACGCAGCTCTGAGCGACGGCAATCTTCGGTTCTAGCGAGGAAATGTTACATGATCTCAAATCACCTCCAATTGGTAATTATGTAAAGAAATAGTTACACGAAAAATCACATATATATATTTTTGAACCCAATCTACCAATTCAGTGCAACAAAAGCAAGAGGTGAGTTGGGAAAAAGCATACCTTCACAAAGCTAAAAGCTTTTGATATTCCACGACTTTCTTCTTGTTCTTCTTCTTCCTTCTGAACATCTTCTGATTCAGGGATGGCAGCTCTGCAGCCTATTTCAGTATCCCCATATCAGTTTAAATTTTTTTAAGGTTTAAATACAAAATTGGGCATAATAAAAACTGAACCAAAAAGTCTTAATTGCTTAACCAAGTGAGAGAGGATTTTGGAAAACAGCGCCAGGCGGCTACGGCGTCCACAGTAGGCTTATTGGCTTTCTTGGCATCAACCCCAATCTTATCAAAGCAGAGACTCCCATTGGGCCGCAGAATCTAAACGAAATCCTACCATAATCTCACTGTCACATAAAAATTAAAAATTAAACAACTAAATTTGCCCCAAAATATTGTTTATACTTGTCATGCATATATATAGTATTGATTACCCAGAAAAAAAATGGAAAATTCCACAACCCAGTAACCAAAATTGGAATAATAATACAAAAGTTTTACCAATTGTAGAAAGATAGAGGAGATATTGAGCATGAACATTAGATTAGAGCCTTAAGAGTCTTAATTTAATAAGAGGAGTCTTAATTCAATATTGAATAAGAATATTAATTTAATAAAAGTTAATACTCAATCAACCAAGTTCCCCATTTCAAACTACCCATCAAATATTTAACAGCAATACAAGCAATAACAAACAAAAAATTTAAACTACTCCAAAAACTAAAACCCTTTTAATTTACCATGTGTATTCAATGATTTGCTTCTGGTAAAAATAGGAAATAAGGAATAATTATTTGGAGATGGAATCTCATATAGAGCTAGCAGAGGAAGCAAAGAAGATATGCAAAAGAAAATTAAGAGATCATTATATTACAAAAGCTATAGAAGCAAATTAAGAGATCATCATATTTGGAGACAGAGACACATATAAAGCTGCAAAAACAAATTATTACTGCTAACAAAAACTGACCTAATTAATTGGATATCCTGGCAAGTACTGATCAAATGTTTTATTACAAAAAAGAGGTAACTGAGAAACCTCATACCTGAGAACTGAATTTAGAAGCTGGACTATGCTGCTGAAGTGAAGCAAGAAGTAACTGCTCCATTTCAAATCCCGCAAATCAGAGTTTGCAGCTGTATTAATGCCATTTTAAATTTGACATTCGTCTCAATCTGTATCATGTGTTTATAGACGTTTAGTTATAATCATAAAACTCAAATTTTTGGTTCAGAAGTTCAATGATGGTTATATGATGTCTACGTTGAGGGTAACATGCGGAGAAATTTTGGGGATAATATTGTTCAAAAAATTATCAACAATGTAGATTCTCCAAGAAATTATACTCTTACGGCCTAAAATAAAGAGTTAGCCTTCATGAGGTGAAAGCAACACATATAAGTCTAATGCTCCAAACCAAAAAAGATACATTGTAAGGTCAACAATTACAACTTCATAGTTTGTCATGGTATTCTGATGTACAAATTAACTAACAAACCTTGAATTCCTCAAATGTTAGTTTCGGAATAATTTTTCAGTCACCGCTACAATCAAAACCATAGCTATTGTCTGGAAATAATGCCTGTAGCAAATTGAAACCAGATCATCATGTTAGACATTGAAATACAACAACAACAAAGCCTTTTCCCACTAAGTGGGGTTTTGTTCTGGATTCATTTTCATAAGGATTCGACGTGATCATGGAGTGCCGGCTGTCGACTACCTGACGCCCTCCCCCTCCTCCTTTATCCGGGCTTGGGACCGGCCATGTAAGACATAGGCGGAGTTATGTTAGACATTGAAATAATGAACAAAAATGATGATACTAATAAGACATAAATTACAACTGATGTTGTGTAGTTTAATATGACAGCAACATGGATAGCTGGTAACCAAAGATAATTAACAGATAAGAATGTATCATTGTATAGTTAGCTCTCCGGTATATAGTTATCATTGTATAGTTAATCTGTATCAATTTGTGTATAAAACACTTAGCCTAAATTTATACAGGTATGCATCAAATAATGACACATTGTCATAGTACTATCTAAGTGTTAATTCCATTGGGGATAGAATGGACGGAGGGGGTTCCAAGTTCTTCCTAAAACAAAAGGCTAATTCCATTAACAAAAAATGGAACCACAGTAAAGCTTTATGAACCTTGTACACCTATTGTGAATATATTATGTCAACGTGGTTCTTTCTTTTTTTCTCAAATCGCAATATTCTTGACCTGTGTTCTGAAAATCCATTAAAAATACAAACAGAGTCCAAGCTTTCAGCTTCCGTCAGGCTTTTATTCTCCGTCTTTTTTTTTTTCGCCGTCAATCAAACAGACGGAGACGTTTTCCTATTGTTTTGGTGAACGAATATAAAAAAGTATAAGAGGAAGGGAATAGGGGAATTCGGCCAGCCATGAAGCTCAGCCAAGAAGAGCAGCCAACCTCCTCCGAGTCGAATCGGAAAATGACGTCATGGGCTGCCTTAGAGAGACTGCCCACGCGCTCCAGAGCAAGAAGAGGTATTCTACTCGAGGAAGATCAAGAACAAAACAGAGAGATTGATGTGAAGGAACTTGGATTAGTAGAAAGGAAAAACGTTTTGGAAAAAAAAAACCACAAACCCAGAAAAATAATGAAAAAATTTCTAATCCCCCTCCAACTCACGAACCCAGAAAATTAATGAAAATTTTTCTAATCGTTAAATTGGATTCCACAAAGTCATGAAACTTTTTCTAAAATGTAATAGGTGTAGAAAGTACCTGTGGTGATGAGGAATAGTTTCAGACCAACCTCGATGGCCGCTGTCGCCGGATTTCCGTCGGAAAACTCGAAACCGAACCGAACTCCTAGGTTCTAGGGAGATGATGATGATGCGAAATTCAATATGCAAAATGTGAAGGAGAGGAATTTCAATTGGAAAGATCTGGAGCAAAGTTGCTGCTGAAATTTGGGGAAGAGAGCTCCAGAAGGTTTTCAATTCGAATAGATGTCGTTCAGGAAGGAAGAAATCACGAAGGAAGCAGAGATCGCAAAGCAGAGACCGCGTAGCAGAGATGGAAGGGAGACCGCGAAGCTTTCTCAGTTTTAAGTTTCTCGTGGTTTCTGAAGAAGTCGAGAGTTTTCTACTAGACGGAGTACAGAAATCAAAATGTTTTTCATGTTCGATAATGGCAGTCGTCCATGTTGCAATGACGTTACACTTCGAAGATCACAAAGATTCAATTTTCATACTATAGTAAACATAATTCTCAGAATATTAACTAAGAAATTCTTACATAGAAGACTAAAAACAAAGAAAAATAAAATTATTTATGTTGACTACAAAGGACTTCAAAGCTACGCACAGAAGCCCCAAAAAACGAAGAACAAATTGTCCTGAAACAATGCACACAGCCAAATCATTTAACTGTAGACATCGAAATTTTGGTAAATAAATGTTGACTGATAAATCAAAGTTTCAACGCTCATGTATTACATAAATTTTACACGTAGTGTGTGACTCGACGAAAAATTGAAATGAGTCGGAAAAGTCATCAAATAAGACACGTGTCAACACTTGGCAGAAACGACTTATTTCATCTGGAATATTATATTCAAAATTAGGCCTTGAAAAATTCTATAAATAGAAGCCAATTTCATTCATTTAGGGGAACCAAATTCATATTACACCTTGAAGCTCTGAAGCTCTGAAACTCCGAAGCTCTCAAGCATCCAGGTTCCCGAAGAACCAAGAAAGCCTTCTTCGTTCTTCGTTCATCGTTCTTCCAAGATCAAGCCCCGACGGCCCTTGGATCAACAATCATCTACCTTCAAGATCAAGTCCCGACGGCCCTTGAAGAACTTTCACCAATTCAAGATCAAGCCCCGACGGCCCTTGAAGAAAGTGTTATTCGTTCATCATCCGTTCATCCTAAGATCAAGCCCCAACGGCCCTTTGGATCAACAACGTCGACAAATCCACACATCCAACCATCCTTCAAGATCAAGCCCAAAAGCCCTTGAAGACCCGTTCATCACTATTCTTCAAGATTAAGCCCAAAAGCCCTTGAAGATCCGTTCATCCAAGATCAAGCCTCGACGGCCCTTGGATCAATCGCACATCCACAAACCAATACCTTACGGAGATCGAATCAGAGGATCAAATTAGAGAGAGATTGTAACCCAAAATAATCATCAAATACAAAATATTTGTTTGTGCACGTTGTTCTTGTCTCTTTCGTTTCGGGAATTTTCCGTGTTCACAAATTGGCACGCCCAGTGGGACAATCTCTACCTCTCATCTCTTTCTCTGTTCAAGAAATTCAAGCACACTTCATGGCTTCAAACAAAGAACAAGTCATGACCATCGGCGCTACCTCTATTGAAGAACAACTAGTTCAGATGAAGGAAACAATTGCAAGGCTGATAAAGACTGCGGAGGAGAAAAACTTGCAAACCGTTGGACTTATCAACCGTCTGGAGGCGCATCATGGCGTCAAAGCGAACCCAAGCTTCATTCCAACTAAGAGGACCGAAGAAGGTCTCAACCCAAACGCCTACGAACTCATGTTAAAGGCTGGGTACGACTTTGCTTCCTCTTCAAATCTTGAGAAGAAGGTTTCAAACACCATCAACGACAAAGATCATGACTTCACCGAGACTCAGAAGAAGTTGGAAAAGCATGATTACGGAGTTGACAACAACAGAGCTAGACTTGGCTTCACACCAAATGCACCCGTGAAGATTTCAAGTAAAGCAAAAAATGCTAGCACTCGACACATCAGCTTGAGGATTGAACAAGATCAAGAGGAGCCTCAACCTCCTATTCGAGTGTCAGTCTTCGATAGGCTGAATCGTTCAAAACCCAGAAGGTCGGCACTTGATCGCATTGGTGGGCAAGACCGAACTTCCATCTTCAAACGGCTTAACACGCCAACACCCCAAAGCTCTGTTTTTGAAAGGTTGTCAAAACCTAAGAAACAAAGCAGCAAGGCTGGCTCTCCTCCCCAACGATCGGCTTTGGAAAAACTTGAAGAAACCAAGAAGCATTCTAGAAATAGGAAGACAACGCCAAAGGAAGAAAAGCTCGACGGTCTAGCAGGAAAAGACGACGTTCGAAGCTTGATTCATTCAAGGATAAAGCGCCAAACAGCTTGGGAGGTCGACACAAAAGGACCACTGAAGGTAAAGAGGCGCACCATCATCTACGCCGGCCAATCTTCACGCCAACAAGCCCAAGAAGACAAAGAAGATGAAATCATGGAAGAAGACGTCACTTCCGGCTTTGTCAACTCAAAATCTTCACCTCAATCGCTGGGGGCATGCTCCAAAACCATGCCAGTTGAGCCAAGCGAAGTTGAAGGAATGACTCATGTCACTCTAGAGAAACTGCAGAAGAAGCATACGTCTCATCCACAAGTCCGCCAATCGGAAATGGGGCAAAGCAGCTCTTGTCAACCTTCAAAGAAAAGTGAAAGTGTTGAAGATGATGAAATGACGACACAAATATCGTCCATCCCCATCACGATGCGCGATTTCTTCCCCAAAGACTTCTTCAATCACTCAGTCAAGGCTCCTTGCTATGAAGATTGCGAGGAACGACTCTCCTGGATCGCTTGACGAACCAATAAACGCTCCTCGCCTGCATGAGCCTAACTGCATGGCACAATGCTCATTGTTCGCACGAGCCTAAACTGCATGAACCAAAGCTCATCGCCTGCACGAGCCTAAACTGCATGGCACAACAAAGCTCCTAGTCTGCACGAGCATAAAAGGCAACACCAACACTTCTTGCCTGCACGAGTCTAAACTGCATGGCACAAAGCTCCTGGTCTGCACGAGCATAAAAGGCAACACCAACGCTCCTGGTCTGCACGAGCATAAAAGGCAACACCAACGCTCCTTGCCTGCACGAGTCTAAACTGCATGGCACAAAGCTCCTGGTCTACACGAGCATAAAAGGCAACACCAACGCTCCTGGTCTGCACGAGCATAAAAGGCAACACCAACACTCCTTGTTCGCACGAGCCTAAACTGCACGAACCAAAGCTCCTGGCCCGCAAGAGCATAAACTGTGTACGACAAAATCATCATCAAAATCACTGTTAAATTCATCACTCATTTGAACTACGTTACGACTTGATCTCTTCTTTGGAGAGGTACGTAGGCAACTCGAATATTCAAAATTTGAGTTCAGTCACACCAAAATAAGGAATAAAGATTTTATTAAAAGTTTTGATGCTATTACAATTTCTTTGTACAAAAAAAAAAGAAAAAAAAAGAGATAAATGTTTTATGTATTTACAAAATATATATATATAAGTGGCCACAGGAAGCAACCCCTTTAGCCACAATACTACAAGCGGCTCCCAGAGCCTAATCTCTCTGCAAGTCAAAAGCCCAGGCTTCTCTCCAATTTACTGGCCCAGAAGCCCAAAGACCGGTTGATGCCATAGGCCCCGCAAGAGGCCCATTCTGCTTCTTCTTCGTCGATGGGATCGTGTTGATAACCCTCAACGCTCCGAATTCGTCAAGGTTCTCTGATCTCGCCCAGCTCACTCTTCGACCTCCACAACAACCGCCTCAACGACACCGTTTCTCCTCTCGTCAATTGCACCAAGCTCAAGCTTCTCGACCTCGCCGACAACAACCTCTGGGGACCCTTTCCAGACAATCTCACCCGGCTTCTCACGCTCGGGCTCCAGAACAACGCCATCTCCGGTGAAGTCATTGACCTCTCTATAGCAATAGCCAACGACGACTACCCTAGAGGCGCCGGCAAAAAACCACTCTCAACCCCCCTCCCATGGAATCCCTAGACGTCTCTCTCTGTCCAAATTCACCTCCCCGCATCCCCAAATTTCCTGTTCTGCTTCCAAGGAATCATTCCCCGGCGATAACACGCCAAGCACTTTTTGTATCATAGAAGAGCCGGAGACGGTGCAGGACTTTGTGCAGATGCAACTACAGGAAATTTAGGACAACATAAGAAGCCGGCACAACAAGATTTTTCTTCTCATGGAAGAGCTAAGGAGATTGCGGGTGCAGCAACGGATAAAGATGGCGAGAGATATGGATGAGGCTTGTGAGGAAGAGTCAAATGAGATGCCTGACATTCCATCCACTATCCCTTTTCTCCCTCATATGACACCAAAGACGTTGAAGCAGCTCTACCTCACAAGCTTATCTATGATATCTAGTGTAATTGTATTTGGGGGTCTCATTGCGCCATCGTTGGAACTAAAATTAGGTATAGGAGGTACCTCGTATGAAGATTTCATTCGTAGCATGCATCTGCCTTTACAATTAAGTCAGGTTGATCCTATTGTGGCATCCTTCTCCGGTGGGGCAGTGGGTGTCATTTCAGCATTGATGTTGATTGAAGCTAATAATGTTGAGCAGCAAGAGAAGAAAAGGTGCAAATATTGCCATGGAACTGGGTACTTGGCCTGTGCTAGATGTTCTGCAAGTGGAGTGTGCTTGAACATCAATCCTATATCAGCATCTAGTGCATCAGACCAACCTTTGCGAGTGCCCACAACTGAGAGGTGCCCAAATTGCTCTGGTGCTGGAAAGGTCATGTGCCCGACATGCCTGTGCACTGGGATGATGATGGCAAGCGAGCATGACCCGCGGATTGATCCATTTGACTAAAGCAAACCAGATGAATAACTTAGCGGTGTTATCTCCTCGTTGATGCAGCTCGGGAATATTTTCCATTCCGGCCCTGATTTCTCCCAACAACTCCATGCCCTCTCCTCCACGGGCAGCCCTCTCTCTCCAACGCCCTCAAGAGAGCCCAAGCCCATCAGAGAAGAGACTGCATCGAGCAGCAGCAGCAGCCGCTCTTAACCATCAAAGTCGAGCTCGAGCAGCTCATCATCCCCATCCTTGACGACCCAAGTGTCAGCAGAGTCATGAGAGAGGCAGGTTTCTCCAGCACCAACGTCAAGAACAACTTGGAGGACTCGTCAACGTCCTCCATTTTCCAGTGTTACAGCTGCTCCGCCAACTCTTCCTCTCCCACAATTTGCGAGCGGACCAAGCAGGTTTTGGCTGATGATGTCGTACAAATCCCAAAAAGATGGCAGATTGGTGTTTGGCATGGATGGATCTTGGTTTTTTTCTTCTTCTGTTTTTGCGATAAACCCAGATGGAATGTTTAACAATTCTGGATGGTTAATTATGTGAAGCACGTCGGCATAGCATGGCAAATAGGGCAGCGTCTCCGCCGTTAAACATAATCCTTTGCAGCAATTGGCAGTGCAACAGATGCGCAGTGGCAGTGCTCGGTGGCAGTACAACGGGTGTGCAGCGGTTGTGCTCGGTGATTGGGCTCAGTCGCTGTGCTCTGGGTTCTAGCTGGATCCGACATCAAGGTCACCTACTCCACCTTCTCCTCCGTCTTTTGCCTCGCAACTGCCAACGACTTCAACGACCGCCGTCAAACGACTAGCCGGTCATGAAGTTCGAAGCACCATCTTCTCGGCCTCCTTGCTCCCTGCCTGCAAAATCCTCTACCCATCACCCAAATTTATACAGAAAATAAAAATAAAAAAAATGGATGGTGGAGCAAAGTGATGCTGGCACCACGTGAAAAAAAAAGAGGTGGTGCATCAGGCACCATGTGCAAATAAAAAAAAATAAAAAAAACATATATAATAATATATATAAATGAATGGTGCATCTGGCACCATGTGCCAGCAAAAAGAAAAAAAAATATAAATGAAATTGTTTATGCGTCTGCCACCATGATTAAAGAAAAAATAAAAAAATAAAAAAAGGAAATGTTTGATCTTTGGTCCGTCTGGCACCATGTGGAAAATGGGTGCACCATGATTAAAGAGAAAATATACAGCCAAAAAAAAAAACAAAAAAAACATGTTCAGAGAAATAAAGTCCATTTTATTTTTCTAGAAATTTTACATTATACATACCTTAAAAAAAAAGTCAAATCAAATTTACAGGAAAGGATCTTCAAGGATGATCATGTGGTGCCTCAGTACTCGACGGAGCTCCAGAAAGACGAAGCACCGGAGGTGGATCAACTGAAGCCTCCACACTTGGTAAAGCTCCAGAAAGACGAAGCGCCAGAGTTTGATTTTCCGGAGCCTCAACATTTGGTGAAGCGCCAGATGACGAAGGCAGAAGATGCCTCGGGAGTAACGCCATAAACCTTTGATGATCATTTCGAGCCCGAACTTCACACTCCTGCAGTTGGTCTAGCTTCTTCTTCATGCTCGTTGAGTAACTAGTTGCTAGCATATGCAACTCTTTATTCTCGTGCCTAAGCCCTCTGATCTCCTGCCGAAGACTAGCCACCTCGGCCATCAAAGACTCAACCTGACGAGATCGAGCAAGAAGGCGTTGGCCCATGTTTGATACTGAGCCCGCACATTGGACGCTGAAGGCCAGAGAGTCTTGAACAGCCATCTCGTCGGACCGCTTGGAAAGCATCTTACTATCCCTAGGAGTGAGAAGATTTCTAGCAACCACTGCAGCCGTTGCGTCATTCCTCATCACAGTGTCCCCAACCGTAAGAGGTTCGTTGGAGGATACGAAGGACAGCTGCCAAATGTTGCCTGGAGAAGACATGTCAATATCTTCTTCGATATTCAAGTCAAGACGACGGTCAGATGGGAAAGACATTTCCGAAGGTGTTCAACAAAATGAAGAGGTCGGGCAAATTAAAGATCTCAGATATGCAAAAGGGGAGTTTTTTTTCACAGGTAGAAATTCAAGTGTGCTTTGAATGTCTTGCGTACCTCTATAAAAAAACAGCATGCGATGGGCTTTCAGAGATCGAAGAGGCGAGTTCAGAGATCGATGAAGCGCCTGCTTTCTCCAAAGCTAGGCCTACTCAAGGATCACGGACTGATCTCAAAAATCGAAGAAGTGTCAGCTTTCTCAGCCTCGTCAGCACCTGTCACACGCAAACTCAGCGTTGCAGAAATCACGGGCAATTTGTCGAAACGCCGATTCCAAACCATCTGTCCTTCTCAGCCTCGTCAGCGTTGCGGAAATCACGGGCAGTTTATCGAAACGCCGATTCCAAACCATCTGTCTTTCTCAGCCTCGTCAGCTTTGCGAAAATCATGGAAAAGTTTGTCGAAGCGCCGATTCCAATCGCATGTCTCTCTCAGCCTCGTCAGCACTTGTCGCATGCAGAAAAAGCTTTGAGGAAATCACGTGAAGTTTACTGTTCAATCATCCAACGGTTGCCGACAGGAGTGAAAGAACAGTACCAGTTATTATTTCCTACAAATGTCGACCTTCACGCTCCATGGCAAGGCAGACATACATAACATTCCGTCATCTCCGACAAATGGCTTTCCAACAAACCCTCTCAACTCACTCAGTGTTCTTCATCCCATAGGATACCTCTGCAAACAAATCTTGAAAAGCAAAAGTATTTCATATCATGAAGGGAGAAAGCAAGAGTATCTCATATCATGCATTCTCCGTGTCCTTTTCCTTGTCTTTGTTCTAACCTGTAGGACAATGAGAAGGAAAGCAATCAGCCAACACTTGGTATCAATCTTCCGATCTGGAACCGACTGCTTGGAACCCTTTTCTGATTGCTTACATGGTATTACTCTCGAGTACTCGTCTTCCACAGTGTGGTAGACAAAGAAGAAACATAAGATGTTAAAGATGAGTACTCGAGAGCAAGGCTGCCAGAAGAAACAAGCAGAGAAGAATGCGGCCCGCACAGTCAACTCAGCAGAATGAGTCTGAGTTGAGTAACTCGAGAAAATGCCACCTTTCACATTCTGCCAAGAGTCTGAGCATGTGGAGACAAGCACAACAAAGCACGTGTCGATTCATCCGCAACTTCTTCAAAAGCAGAAGTACCTCATATCATCAGAGTCAAAAACAAAGATATCTCATGGCATGCTTTTCTTTTACCCTTGCTCTTGCCTGCGGGACAAGGAGAAAGAAAAGCAATCGGTCGGCACTTGGAAAGATTGAGCAAAGAAACAGACCGTCACCTTCACCTCGTGCCTGCTTGCCATGTGTTCGAGTCCACCTTCAAGAATCAAGCCCCGACGGCCCTTGAAGAAACTTCCAGCCCAATTCAAGATCAAGCCTCGACGACCCTTGAAGAAATTTCAAACAAGGTTCAAGAACAAGCCTCAACGGCCCTTGAAGAAAAAATCATCCACCTTCAAGAATCAAGCCCCGACGGCCCTTAAAGAAACTTCCAGCCCAATTCAAGATCAAGCCTCGACGGCCCTTGAAGAAATTTCAAACAAGGTTCAAGAACAAGCCTCAACGGCCCTTGAATAAACAATCATCCACCTTCAAGAATCAAGCCCCGACGGCCCTTGAAGAAACTTCCAGCCCAATTCAAGATCAAGCCTCGACGGCCCTTGAAGAAATTTCAAACAAGGTTCAAGAACAAGCCTCAACGGCCTTTGAAGAAACTTTCAACCCAATTCAAGATCAAGCCTCAACGGCCCTTGAAGAAACTTTCAGCCCAATTCAAAATCAAGCCTCAACGGCCCTTGAAGAAATTTCGAACAAAGTTCGAGAACAAGCCTCAACGGCCCTTGAAGAAATCTCCAGCCCGGTTCAAGATCAAGCCTCGACGGCCCTTGGATCGACATCTACAGTAAGGGGACTTCAAAACGCATCTCCTACACGTGACAAGCACATGTATACGACGCGCCTTGAAGTGGGGGCATTTGTAGACATCGAAATTTTGGTAAATAAATGTTGACTGATAAATCAAAGTTTCAACGCTCATGTATTACATAAATTTTACACGTAGTGTGTGACTCGACGAAAAATTGAAATGAGTCGGAAAAGTCATCAAATAGGACACGTGTCAACACTTGGCAGAAACGACTTATTTCATCTGGAATATTATATTCAAAATTAGGCCTTGGAAAATTCTATAAATAGAAGCCAATTTCATTCATTTAAGGGAACCAAATTCATATTACACCTTGAAGCTCTGAAGCTCTGAAACTCCGAAGCTCTCAAGCATCCAGGTTCCCGAAGAATCAAGAAAGCCTTCTTCGTTCTTCGTTCATCGTTCTTCCAAGATCAAGCCCCGACAGCCCTTGGATCAACAATCATCTACCTTCAAGATCAAGCCCCGACGGCCCTTGAAGAACTTTCACCAATTCAAAATCAAGCCCCGACGGCCCTTGAAGAAAGTGTTATTCGTTCATCATCCGTTCATCCTAAGATCAAGCCCCAACAGCCCTTTGGATTAACAACGTCGACAAATCCACACATCCAACCATCCTTCAAGATCAAGCCCAAAAGCCCTTGAAGACCCGTTCATCACTATTCTTCAAGATCAAGCCCAAAAGCCCTTGAAGATCCGTTCATCACCGTTCATCCAAGATCAAGCCTCGACGGCCCTTGGATCAATCGCACATCCACAAACCAATATCTTACGGAGATCGAATCAGAGGATCAAATTAGAGAGAGATTGTAACCCAAAATAATCATCAAATACAAAATATTTGTTTGTGCACGTTGTTCTTGTCTTTTTCGTTTCGGGAATTTTCCGTGTTCACATTAACCAAGCAACGTATCTAACGATATAAGATCACAAAGATTCAATTTCCATACTATAGAAAACACAACTCTCACAACATTAAATAAAAAATTCTTACAAAAAAGGTTAAAAAGAAACAAACGAAATTATTTACCTTGAGTATAAACGGTTTGAAAGCTAAACGGTTCAAATCTACACATAGAAGCCTC